TTATGATTTAATGCCAAGTGAAAATATATAGGGTTATCCGCTCCGTGTTTCAAGAGGAGATTATGGTGCACAAGCAATTGGTAAAATTTTAAACAAATTGTAAGGTTACAGATATTTTAGTTCCTGTCATCATAGCCTTGCTTAATCCATCTCAAATTTCGCCACTTTAAGTAAAAGTTTGGCTAACATTTGTCGACGTTTTCTAGCGCTGGGACTTTCTAACGGCACATCATAGAGTATTTTGCTCTTAGACCTACATCTACATCCATATCAAGTCCAGCTGACTATTCAAAACGTCATACCTAAGTCGATTAGGTGCTTCAGCCACAAATAGTAGTGGATGGGAATATTTCGAACAAAATTTTCTGCAATGATGAGGTACGGAGTACTCTGCTCCGGAGGTGTGATTGGAGCTTACTTCTTTGAAAGTGTCAACGGGCAAACTGTCACTGTATTACATACGAGACGAGACGAGCAATTATGGCTTTATTGCGAAGGAAATTTCCCGCCCGCGGAACTGTTCGCCTTGACGGTGTCAATTGGCCACCGAGGTTGTCCGATTCAACACGATTGAAATTTTTTTTGAGCTAATATGCAATCCTGTTCTTGTGGATAAACATTTAACTTTTGAACATTGAAAAGCCAACAATCGTTAAGTTATGTCGAGGGACCGTCCAACCTCAAACGGATCGAAGTTTGCAAAAATATCCGCCGTGTTTCACATATTACCGATCAAAATTTAAAATAAAAAGTGAATTTCATCAAAAAAATATTTCAAATTCATTTTATTTACGTTTCTTTTCGAGACCCAAAAATGGATAACCCTGTATGAGCGATTGTATTCAATGACGTAGGTTTGATTAAATTTGGAAATATTTATTGATCGAGTAATGTGCCAAAACATAAATATAAAATTTCATTATTAATACAAATATTACTAAAAATAACATATTCCTTTTATACTATTTCCGAATGTAGTTTCCTTGCTCTTTCTGAAGATAAGAAAGGGTATGAATCCAACCGGATTGTATTGCAAACATAAAAACACTTGATTTAGAAAATTTGATCGTTGTGGTTAAGCCAAATTAACTTCTTCCTATTATTTTACTATGCACCGTGTGTATCGTCGAGATCAAATTTCACATAACGGAGATAAAACGCTGCGAATTAGTTATCTCACCAAGGCAACAAACTTAATGGCCTACAGACCCTACTTGATTGACCTGTGGGTCAAGCTTTTAGGATATGCTCAATTCGTACTCTTCGTCCACGTCGCGCACACTGGAAACGTGAGCAACCCTTGCGTAACCACCACAAGTAGAGCTTTGGGGCACGGCTAATGAGTGAAGAAGCTTCAGTGGAACTTCAGTAATGCGGCTGCGAGCGGGCATCGGTTTTGAAGCAAGCGGCTCGCTATATAAAAGTGTAAGAACTTTAAATTTACTCGTCTAGTGAGGTTGTGCGCTGAGTTTGGGACCCGACACGCAGAAAATAGCTGCAATGAGAAAGATAACAGCGCCTGGGATGAGATACCTCCTTTCTGTTAACGACCCGTCAAACGATTTAAGGATCACGATTTGAGGGCATGCACCTGGAATGTCCGATCACGTATAATTGGGAAAGTGCCGCTGCCCAGGTGGTTAGTGTCCTCGTAAGAATAAAGGCTGATATCACCGCCGTCCAAGAAATACGATATATGGGACAAGGACGAAAGCGAGTAGGTTTTTGTGACATTTACTACAGCGGTCATATAAAGGTGTCGGATTGGTGGTGGGAGAGAGACACGAGGTTGAGGCTGATCGACATCGCCGGGCCCCGAAATCTGGTTTTCCTTAGGTGGAGAAAAAACAGACTGCCTACCTCGCATCGATCGACCACAATACCTGTGGGGTAGAATAGATACCGAGAGCTAAATTGAGAAGCAAAATGCATTTGCAGGGGAAAAAAGAAAGAGGCCGAAATGCGTAAGTACGAAAGCTTGAGAAGCTAGCCAACAAGGTTAACGCTAGGAAATTCTATGAAAACATAAGGCGACTTACGGAAGGTTTCAAGAGGTTATAAGGTCCTATCAAGCGTATTGTGTGAAAGACTAAAGCCCAGGCATGCGCCCAACAGGACACCACCGTAATGCGTATTTCCCCAGCTCATGCAGATATATAAGCTGTGCTTGCGTAACAATCGATGAGATATCATACCAACTATCGCCAAGCGCGCACTGGATTTTATTATTCAAAAGTAAAATATAATTATAAATATTTTTTATACATTAAAACGCTAATGTTCAACTAAAACTAATTAATTATGCTATTTATAAGAGAATACATCTAATTGATTAAACTATTATATTTAAATAAAACATTATACAATTTAAATCGACAACGCGAGTGGACAATTTCGAAAGTACTCCAAGAAGGTACCTCGCGTAACTACCCACTGCGAACAAACTAATTGACCTGGCAAGTCATTCATTGACCAGATGTTTACCATGCGTCAAATCTTGAAAAAGACTTGTGAAAAGAGAATTGACACACAGCACCTTATCGATTTTAAATCAGTCTTCGACATCACGAGAAGGAACTGCCTTTACGGTACTATATCTGAAGTTGGTATCCTCGCAAAACTTATACGGATGTTTAAACTGACCTTGAGCAACACTTAAAGCTCCGCCAGAATCGGACACGACCTCTCCGAGCCATTCAAGACCAAACGAGGTTTCAACAATGTGAATCTTAATCGTGTGATTTTTTTAATTTGATGCTGGAGTAAATATTATGAGCTGCAGAGCTGAATAGAGGTACAAACTCATTCTATAAGAGTTTACAGCTGCTGGCATATGTGGACGACATCGACATTACTGGCCTCAAAAACCACGCCGTGACTGATAAGGAAGCGAATGATGTGGGTCTGGTAGTGAATGAAAGCAGCACGAAATATATCCTGTGACCACACAAACAGTCATCGCATTCGCGACTTGGCTCCCATATCACTTTTGACAGCCACAACTTTGAGATAGTAGAAACTTTTGCCCATCTTAAAACCAGTGTTAACACTAACAACAATGTTAGCTTTTAAATCAAACGCGGAATCACTCTTGCCAACAGGTGCTACTTTGGTCTCCTCTCTGGGCGAACGTAAACCGAACTCTACAAGTCGCTCATCATATCCGTCCTACGATATGGGGCAGAAGCGTGGACGATATAACTCTCTGATGCCTCGGCTCTAGCAGTCTTCGAAAGAAAAGTTCTTCGAACGATTAATGGTCCTTTGCGTATTGGCAACGGCGAATACCGCAGACGATGGAACGATATACGAGCTATGTAAGGCATTGACATATTTGAGCGAATGAAGAGACTAGGACTACGCTGGCTAGGTCAAGTCGTCCGAATGGATAAAAGCACTCCAACTTTGAAAGTATTCGATGCAGGACCCGCTAGTGGAAGCAGAGGAAGAGGAAGACCTCCACTCCGTTGGAAGAATTGCTTTCAACTAGCATCAAACAGCAATAAAGAAGAGATGAATGGCGCACCAATTGAATGATGTTATAGCCAGCATTTAATTGTATCGATTGTATTTGACATTAAATAAAAAACACAATTAGCTTGGCTTTTTTTAGGAAATCGTATCACTCTTATTGGAAAACCCTATATTTGGAATGTTTGGAAAGTAGACCAAGAATATCAGTTGCTTGAGCAGCTTCCATTGGTCTTGCTTATTCTTCTTTAGCAAACTTTGAGTGACTTTGTAGTTTGGAGAACACCCCTCCATTGCAAGTGCTTTATGTGAACGGGCCAAACAGTTGACGCAGTACTTGTGTCTTGTCACTGTGTAAAACTTTTCGCTGACATTGATTGAAGTCTACTTAGAGCATGTACGCAAGCGATGTGTTTATTGGCGTGTTTCCAGTTCCGCTTTGAGGGGGTGAAAATGCGTACATTGTGCCGTGCAATGGCGAAAGAATCACTCTGAATCTCTGTAGCCGGCTGACCAGGGTTTTCACTTCTGATTTCGGACTGATGCTTCTACCACTGTTTAAAAATATTTGAAGCGCATGCTGATTGCTGAACAGTATCCTCGAGGGTTAGTTGACTTTGTGGGTGTCATTATGCTATAAATATAAATAAAATAGAAGCCAAGATTTTTGTGATTGGGCGGGCTCTTATGCCTTATGATGTGCATGTCTGAACAATAGTAAGTCTTTTCGATACGACCTAATTTTCATTCATTTGAAATTCTTAGAGTATTTTTATCTTTCCCATGGAGAGGCACTGGTTTAGCAAAAAGATGAAAATAAAAATATTCAATATATTCTTGAAAATTTTATGGAAATGAGACGGTAACACAAAATGACCATTTTCTCTAGCCTAAAATGTTTTCGCTTGCCTTATGCCACCTTTTCCGATTTCTCACCTCACAACACTGTTAAGCAATTGGTATTTATCAAATGAATCATATTACAGTAAGCAATCTAAGCAAAAAACCACTATCGACATGAGATCGTGAGAACATGTTGGCGCACATTTTTGAGATATTGTATCTCAAAAACTTTTATTTCTTTGTGTTTCCGCGCGCACTACACAAGTTTAAAAATATATGATGACGCTCTTATCGAGCTTTTGATATTTTCAGATCGTATTTATGCAGATGTGTATGCTTGTATGTATATAAAAACCTTCATAAATTATCATAAATAAATGTACACATGTTTCATTATAGTGTGTTTTGAAATTTTGCAAGCAAACTTTAATGCAAGAAGGTGAAAAGTCATCGCTTAGTTTGCAATTGTATACAATAAGTATGTTATTATATCACATACACGTAAGTGCGACTATACATATATATATATATACAAATGTGAATGCGACTATATCGAGTGGCAATAATTGCTTTAAATATTGTAATATACAACAAAAACCTCTTGTCGGCAATAGAGATAATTATCCTTATCATTGGTAATAAAGTTTGTTTAAAACAGTAGATAAGCCGAGAAATTTCTTAACTATAAAGGTCTTTGTTGCCTCGTTGAGACATTAGTTTGAGACATTCATTTAACCACTTCAAGTTGCTGTCAGCAACTAGATTCGTGGATTTACATAATAACATATTTTAAGGTTAGCATCCCAAAGGATATTTATGCATTCATTGTGAAATGTTATATTGATTGTGTTGAAAAAAGGTTGCTCTAATTATATATAAAAAAAAAATAATTAATTTAAAAAATATTAATTAATTATATGTGTACACCAATACCTCAATATACCTGGCTTCGTCGTTAGAAAAAAAAAGTGTTATTAAATAAAAAAAATTCTAGTGTGTTAAAAGTTTTTACTGTGTACATTAAATGTGAAATAATAAATACTGGGTCTCCCAATAAGAGGTGTTATTTTGATAAACAAAAAAAATAATATTTTTTGAGATAATTTTTCGCACGTTTATTTCAATGTAGCGAGAAAGATATTATATATATATTAAATATTAATAATGAAAAATAATATCAAACAAAACGCGGCCACAGGACCTCATCGTTTTTATGAAAGTTTTCATCACCAAATCGCAAAGTCGCTGCTGCATGCTCTCAATAACTTCACGACTGTACTTGTATCTATGAGACATTGAATCGACGGTGGCCTGTTGGCATAGACCTTATCTTTCACGTGGCTTTAAATTAAGAAGTCTCAAGCTATTAAATTGCAAGAGCTCAGCGGCCAGTGGCGATCATCTCTTCGAGAAATAACACGATCCGGAAACTTTTCCCTTAAAAGATCGATAATTTCGTTGCTCGTGTGGCACGTGATGCCGTCTTGTTGATAGCAAACATTGTTCAGATCAATACCATACAATTCTGGACATAAAAAATCATCAATCTTCTCTTGATGATCATAGCGCAATCCATACACCGTAACTGTTGTTACAACCTCATTTTCAAAAATGTAAAATCAAGATAATGACGCTGTCGGGCCATAAGCCATATGCAAGATGTCATACACTTACGCGTTGAGGATGGAGAGGATTTTCAAAAATAGATCTTGGGTTCACCGGACCCCAAGCATTTCAAAAGCCCAATCAGAAAAGACACGACGTTGTTGATAACCGGCCGGTTTGAGTTCATGTGTTAACTTAACACCTTAAGATTCAAGTCTTCAAGTCTGCAAAATACGCTTTGTGGAATGACCAATTCCAAAAACCTGGGTTTCCTTAAACACTTTGGTCGTTTATTCTTCACACATTTTCCCACCAGTTACTGTATTGCGGTCCAAGCGGTTGCTTTACGACGACCGAAAAGTGTTATACTTTTACAAATCGTCTAAGCCAGGTTCTCATCATTTTTATAGTGAATTTTAATCATTTCAATGTATTATCAAAGCGTATTACTGGCGTAGTTTTTGACAAACAGACTATTTAAAAAATAACACCTCTTATTTGACAACCCTTCACATATGTAAGTTTCCTAAGTCCGCATAACTGAACCATACGATTTCTTTCGCTGCAAAATTACCTAGTTAATCATTCAGACATAATCGAAATTTCACAAAGCAGTAAAGCACTAATCACCTTTCAAGCGAGCCAAAATTCATTCACAATCATTTTTTACGATAAGAAATACCTCCCAAAAATCGAATAAAAATTAATCAATACGAATTATTGATTCCGTTTCTTATCGTTAAAAAAACTTTGATTATTTATAGTTGGCAAATTCCGTATTTTTATGGATCTTAAGATAAGTGAAAAATTTATAGTTTCTCTCTTCGCTCTTTGGCGTCAGTTGGAAATACCAAGTGAAGCCAGGAAGCTCTCCACGTGACCCATCCAACTGAATGGAGCTCTTCCTCTTTCTCTGCTTCCACCAGCGGGTATCGAATACTTTTAAAGCTCAAGTGCTTTCGTCCATTCAGACGATGGGAACTAGCCAACGTAGCCCCTGTCTCTTGATAAGCCGAGCTATGTCAATATTATCGTATAGCTCGTACAGCGCATCATTATATCGTCTGTGGTATTCGTTGTTGCTAATGCGCAAAAGGCCTTAAATCGTTCGCAAAACTTTTCTCTCGAAGGCTCCTAGATATTGATATCGTCGACGCTTCTGCGCCACATAGTAGGACGGGTATGATGAGCAACTTGTAGAGTTTGGTTTTCGTTCGCCGAAAGAGTAGCGGAAAGTAGCACTTCTTGGCAAGAGTGATTCTGCGTTTGATTTAAAAGCTGGCATTGTTGTTAGTGTTGACACTGGTTCCAAGACAGGCAAAATTATCTATCAAAGTTATGACTGTCAATGTGATATTGGAGCCAAGTCTCGAATGCGATGACTGACAGGAGATATTTCGACTTGTTCGCGTTCATCATCAAACCTATACGCTTCGTTTCCTTACCCAGTCTGGAGAAAGCAGAATTCACGATATCAAATTCAGACATAGCGGCTCCTTCTCGTGCTGTATTAAACTCACCGAAGAAGTAGTGTGTATCGATCCTCTTGTCATGGGTCTGTTTTAAGATTTGGTGCATGGTGAATATCTGGTCAATGGTTGACTTACCAGGTCTAAAGCCACACTGATAAGGTCCAATCCGTTTGTTGGAGGTGGGCTTCAGTCTTTCACATAATACGCTTGATAGGACCTTATATGCGCTATTAAAAAGGTTTATTCCACGGTATCGCGTTTTGCGGATTGGGCAGAGCAATCGTTGGGCATGCTTTCATATGACTATATTTTGCAAAGAAGCTGATGCATGCACCTGATCAGTTCCTCACCGCCGTATTTGAATATCTATGCCGGTAATCCATCGGTCTCCATCTCCGGGTGTTTCATTTTGACTACCATTCAGCAGGCTGGAGAAGTGTTTTCTCCGTAGATTCAGTATACTCTGGGCATCCGTCACTAGATCACCTCCCTGGGTCCCACTATAGTTTGCTCCGGTCTTGAAACCTTCCGTATATCGCCATAGTGCTCTCATAGAGCACAGGTGCAACCCGAGAAGAAAATCGCTCCGTAGTCGGTTGTGATTGCAGCTTTTCAACGTCGAACCCTCCTTGTGTTTGTTGACGGGCGTTCTTTGAGACACAGAGGCGGGTGCGTATCTTCGCTGTGACAAGATGTCCGAGTCGATACAAAACCTCGAACACCGAATACATGTCTTCCGTCTATCACAACCACGGATCGATCTGGTTGAAACTTTTACGATTTGAAGACAGCTGAGTAGCTTGGTGATTTTTTTTGTGCTTGTGCTACAGACAACTATATATCCAGTTCCGGCGAAGTCGATCACCCTCAACCCTTTAGAGGATGTTTCATCGTGAAAGCTAAATTTTCCGATTGTTGTCCCAAAAGTACCACAATTTCGACGCAGTGTCGGGGGCAGCGCCCATAAAGGTGATCGAGGCGCTCGTAAAAGACATCTTTGGTCAAGTCATAATTGCCTTCGTTTTGATGCGGATTGTGGCGAGAAGTTCATCGACCGGAGTGAATGCCGCTACTCGGCGATAGAGTCTCTCTCCAACCACGGATCCGACACCAAATTTGCGCTGCTTTACATGGCCGCTGTTGTAAATTTCACAAGGACCCGCCCACCTTCTTCCGTCCTTGTTCCGTCCATAGCATTTCTTAGACGGCGGTGATGTCAGCATTTAACTTTTTGTGGAGATCATTCTGCTGGGTACCGCACATTTGCGGGGGTCGTCATCAAAAGAGGGGTTTCACATCCGAGGCTTATTGAAGTTTTTAATTGGATTTTGGTTTTCATGTCGTGAATGTTCGTTGGCTACACAGGGGATACGTGGTCTCAGACCGGAAGTCGTAAGCTGCTTAAACCATATGCAAAAGAATCGTTGCTGGCCGCTCCCAGGTGAATGAACGTCAAAAACTTTCCTCACTTGAGTGAACTTCTACAAATTACCACTTTCTGCTTTTAGCTAGATATAATTGGCTCTAAGCTTGATTACAAAGAATTTTTTTTATGTAAATATTATTTTTGTTACTGTTAATTAGTTCATTTATTTATTGTATTTATTCATGTATTAATCTAAATTGATGCATACGAGTATATTGTATATATGTACGTACATAGATCTGTTATTTACACAAAAAAATCGTTATTCTTTATATTAACTTTTGTGAAAATTATGGAACACAAAAACGAGATATTAAAATACAGCAAATTTTACAATAATCAAACTATAAATTTTTTCACCCAAACATTATAGAATGTCGAAACTATCCATAGCTGCCTTTTTGGTGGCATTTCTGAGCATCAATGTGCTTGCTGCTCCATTTGAGGAGCTCATGGAAATAGACGGCAGAGCGGATGTTGAGAACTATCGTCTACCGACTGAAATACTCCCATGGAATTACGATCTCAAGCTTGCACCTTATCTGCAAGATAGCGACGGTGTTAAACAATTCACATTCGACGGTGAGGTCACAATTGAGATCAATTCAACCATCAATACAAACACACTGATATTGCATTCGAAAAATCTAAATTACACAACCAGCGAATATTGGGCGGCAGATGCGCCAACAAATAGGACTGCTTTGGGCGCAGGCACCTTGAATAGTGTCACTGACAAATTGCAGTTCAATTTGAGCACACCTTTGGAGGCTGGCAAAACTTATTATTTACACTTTATCTATATTGGCACAATGGATGATGATATGCATGGCTTCTACCGTAGCTACTACTTGGATGCCGACAATAATACGCAGTAAGTATTATATAGTAATTATAAACAACTACTTGTATAATCTAAGGTTTACGGGTGATCCATTTTTATGTCGATATGTAAGCATTGAAGAACTTTGTGAAAAAAACAAACAGTTTGATTCCTTACAATTTTTTGGACTGTTTTTGAAAGCAATATCAATCAAGTAGCTACCTTTATTAGCGATTACAAAATGACTTCTTTTTTCTGCGTTCGCCATTACCTTTCCAAGCATCTCGGATGTTATACCGTCAATTTCAGCACGAATGTTTGCCTTGAGCTCATCAATAGTTTGAGGCTGGTCGGCGTAAACCTTGCTTTTCAGATAACCTCACAAAAAGAACAACCGGAATTATTTAAATCAGGTCAGGACAAATAGTATTGTCAGCCTGGTGCCTTATTGCCGCAATATTTTTTCCGAAACGCACGCTGAGTTAATACAACGGAACGACTGTTTTCGATGTAAAGTGTCACTATTTCAGAGCGTTGTTTCGGTGTGAAGCTATCTTCAAACCATGTCATGCGGCAATCGCTGTGTTTCGTGGCATGCTGAAGTCACCAAGCTACTTTGCCAGGAGCTTACTTTGGAGCACGCCACATGCAACTGGCCATGGGAGAAGCAGCTTTCTATCAAGTATTTGACTATGGTCATTGCGAAGTATACTTTGATAGAATCTTGGAAATAATTACAGATTCTCCTTCAGTAGCCCCGATTAGACTTTGATGCAATACTTTTACCTTTTCTATTGCACAGTTTTGGTTGATTCAGCCAAATCACCATTTAATGTTCTGAGATGTCCGGCAGTAATATAACTTCTTAGAAAGATTCTCATATTTTTGATGAGGCTCAGAAGAGCAGGGATAAACCTTTTATGTTTTAGTTAAACTTAAGATTTTAATATTTAATTTTAGACTTCCAAAGTCAATGTAGACGCAATAAATAAATACCAATGTTAATTAGTAAAGGCTCAGTGTTCCCACTTCATCTACTCGCTACCCTGAACACTATTGGTAATATCTGTGGGACCCAGTCTAAAACATATCAGTATCATATCGACCTGTATAGTGGAAGGAAATATCTCTGAAGGGGGTGAGAACGAGTGTTTAGCCGCTTGATTAAAGTTATGAAGCAAACCTGCACTAATTGACCGAACAAGTTGATTTGTCCTATAAGGTCAGGGGGCGACAAATAGACAACATATTTTTCATAAGTATCTTTCTACTTTCAGATGGATCGGCTCTACACAATTCCAAACGCACCATGCCCGACGTGCTTTTCCCTCATTTGACGAGCCAAAATTTAAAGCTACCTTCAAGGTCACAATTAGGCGCCATAGAGATTTCAAATCTTTCGCAAATACAAACATTGCGCAAACAACTGTTGATGGGTAAGTACAAAAATATTTAAGCCATTAGAATGTAAAATGACCTTTTTTAAACATATTTGTTGTTTTTAAGTAAATAAAAATGAATATAATTTGTTGTGCATTTATTTTCTTCACAGAGAATATCAGGAAGACGTATACCAGCCAACACCACGTATGTCCACCTATATCCTCGCCTTTCTTGTATCCAAATTTGAACGGCGTAATGACACTAATTTCGGTGTAATTGCGCGTCCAGAATATTACAATCAGACTGAATACAGTTTCGATGTTGGAAGAAAAATTCTCTCGGCTTTGGACAACTACTTCGGCATAAATTATTACGAAATGGGCAATGATAAAATGGATATGGCTGCCATACCCGATTTCTCAGCAGGTGCTATGGAAAATTGGGGTCTATTGACTTATCGTGAACGTGCTTTACTTTATGACCAAAGCTCGACGACACTTAGTGCGAAGCAATCCATTGCCGGTGTTGTGGCACACGAGCAGACCCATATGTGGTTCGGTGATTTGGTGACCTGCGATTGGTGGAGTTACACGTGGTTGAATGAGGGTTTCGCACGCTATTTCCAGTACTTTGGTACAGCTATGGTTGAAACCGATATGGGCTTGGACCAACAGTTCATAGTCGATCAAGTGCAATCAGTGATGAATATGGACTCCACTAACAGTACTAATCCGATGAGTGATCCCGATACAAACACTCCATCTGATTTGTCACGCATGTTCAACAGTATTTCATATAACAAAGGCGCCAGTGTCATTCGCATGGTTAGGCATGCAATTGGAGAGGAAAATTTCAAAAATTCATTAAATGCTTATTTGAAGAAACAGTAAGTATACAAGTTAATATGCAACAACAACTGCGTTTAAAAAAGTTTCTAAATGTAACGTCGGATTCCGAAAAAAATCACCAAAAAAAATCATCAAAAAAATTTAGTTTAAAACTTTTTAATGACAAAGATTTTCAGTCCAGTGATTTCAGTTTACTACAAGAGGCTGTAGGCTTGAATTGGTTTGGCCACGTTCTTCGCGCAGATGCCGACGGAAGGCGCCATTTTGTAGTCGCCATTTTGAATTTCGACAATTTTTTGCCGTTTTAAAATCTTAAATCATAATTAAATTTGATAGTCAAAACCCAAAGCTCGTACGCCTTTGCATTCTCCCACAAAAAAATACACAGTTTCAGTTTCCAATATCAGGGAAGGGTCCCCATAATAATAGAATTAGATAAAGTAGACTATAAAATTCGGATCGTCGAACTGGCAGTTCCGATATGGCTCTTTTAATGATTTTTAAAGTAAGCAGCATAACGATCAACATGTTTCTCGTTGATTACTTTGATTGACCAAAGATGTAGACTTTAAAACAAAATCTCCACGACACTTACATATGTACAATTTTTGAGTTTGGAAAAAAATTTAATTTCTCCTTTTTGACTTTTCTAGTGCATACACGAACACCGTTCCCGAGAATCTTCTGGAAATTTGGCTTAGCTATTGGCCGAATAGCACAGTTCAGTATGCCGAGGCGGTATTTAGAAGTTTTACCGAACAAGTCGGCTATCCGGTCATAACAGTCACAGTTTCCGATAACAAACAGTCTTTCAGCGTTAAACAAGAACGTTTCTTATTAAAGGATCAGAACACATCCAACACTGAATTGTTATACACCGTTCCAATATCATACACAACCAGCGATAGGAAAGACTTTTCAGATACAACACCTAAATTTTATTTGGAAGCATCAACAGCGACGGTATCAAAAGACCTCAATACTTCAATCGATTGGATTATTTTGAATGTACAGGAATCTGGTTATTATCGCGTCAACTACGATGAAAAAACTTGGACTGCTATTCATTCGTCTCTACACTCAAATAATTGGGGTGATATACACGAACTGAATCGTGCTCAAATTGTCGACGATCTCCTCAATTTCGCTCGTGCTGGTATTTTGTCATACGAGAAAGCACTCGAGGTGCTCGAATATTTGGAGAGCGAAACAAATTACCTGCCGTGGTCATCAGCCTTCACTGGTTACACGTATATAAATATTCGACTTGGTAATGACACCGAACAATTTGCTAATTACATTCAGGAACTAACCAAAACTGTTTACGAAAAACTCGGTTTTGATGAAAGCTCCAACGATACTGCTTTGGACATCTATAATCGTGCCAAAGTTTTGTCTTGGGCCTGTAAATTTGGTAAAACAGAGTGCATAAGCAAGGTCAAAGAATATTTCGCAAATATCAACACTACACCAGTGCCAGTTAATATTCGTTCAGTGGTCTACTGTAATGCCTTACGTTATGGCAATGAAAGTGATTACGATCTGTTATTCAACAAATTTAACACAAGTACATCTTCGACTGAACAAACCCTCATCCTTAGTATATTGGGTTGTGTTAAAAATGAAACACTCGTTGAAAAATATTTCAATGCTATTCTGAGCGACGATATTCGGCGACAAGATAAGTCGAGTGCGCTTAGCTCACTTTACACTGAAAACAATGAAAATGTCGCTGTGGTGTTCAAATTGGTTACCGAGAATGTGGATCAACTCATTGATGCGTAAGTTAAGCTTAAGAAAACTGTTTTATATTCGTACGAGTATATGTATATTGCATTTGTTATCTTTTTAATTTTTCTTTTCCGCAGTTTGGGCAGCTCATCTTCTGTCGCTACTGTCATCTCCAACATTGCCGCGCGTTTCACAACCGCAAGCGAACAGCAAAGCCTGAGGCAATTCAATGAGCAGAATAGTAGCAAGTTTGGTAGTTCCGCATCCACACTACTGGCTGCCGAAAAGGCGGTTGAAGAGAATCTTGCATGGGCCTCCAGCAGATTGGAGAGCTTTACGAGCTACTTGAGCAATCGTAAGCATAGTGGTGCCGCTACTAACACTGTCGCCGTACTAACCGTAATTTTGTGTGCGATCGTTAGTCGTTTCCTGCAGTAAATATTTTCCTCTCAATTCCCGCTATCCTTCATACGTAGACATGCTTTTGTATGCTTGGCACATACACTTGTTTTTGTAGATATGTACGATAGCTTTAAAATATCTGTAAATAAAAATTTAACTGAAAAGAGTATTTATAAGAACTAAATTAAATTAGACGTGTAAAGTGCCAATAACCTTGAGAAAGAAACGAATAAAATCAATAATATTATGTACAATTAACGGTATGATTTAAAAGAAATAATTATTTTTTGGACATTTCTCATTTCAAGCAGTACACATGGCATCTGTTTCGCTCTGGTCCTAACTTAAATCGGACTTCTTCTCTGCTCATTAGACGGTGATCTTCTTCTTCCTCAATGGCTTAGACACCGCCTACAGTATTACAGAGTTTACAACTGCACACCATTCATTCCTTCTCTGCTTGCTGTTTGATAACACCAAGTACAGCCGCTCCTTCTGCCCATGATACTTCCAGCGGTGTGCAAGTATTCCTCTTCCAAGGCCTCCACCGATGGGTAGTGTAACCAATACCTTCAAAGTTGGAGAGTCTTGATCAATTCGGACGACATAACCTAGCCAGCGCAGAAGCCATCTCTACATTCGCTGAACTATATCAATGTCGCTGTACTTATCTTCGTTCCATCGACTGCCAACGCTTAAAGGACAATAAATGATGCGAAAAATTTTTCTTTCGAAGACTACTGGGTCGGCTCAGCAGATGCTGTCTTCGTTCACACCACCGCACCATATAGCAAGACCGGAATGATGAACGTATTGTAAAGTCTGGTATCCATTCGTCGAAAATTTTTAGTTGCCTACTCAGTCCAAATTGCACCTGTTGGCATGAGTAATTCTAAGTTGGATTTCAAGGCTGGCATTGCCGTTGATGCCAATACTGGTTCTAAGACTGACAAAATTATCTACTACATCAAAGTTATGGCTGTTAAAAGTAATATGGGAGCCAATACGCTTACGTTTCCTTATCCAGTCTGGAGAAGGCAGAACTGACGGCAGGGTTGTCGAGGTTAATGACGTCAATATGATCGGCATACGCCATCAGTTGTGCACTTTTTCATAAGGTTGTACCTGCTCTATTCAGCTCTGCAGCTGGCATTATCTTCTCAGGCAATACGAGGTGTGACAATTAAGTAACGAGACTGATTCCATAAAAACCGTATATTTCAAAATTATTCTACAACTCTGCCATCCCCTTCAAAGTAGTCCAATTGTACAGCAATACAACGATTTCAATTCCCATGCCTCGTAACATTTCTGGAACGCTTCGACTGGGATGTCCGAGCCACGGCGGGTTGTCGTGATGAAGGATCCAGTTGCGAGCGATGTCTGGTCGCACCCGGCTGACTCGTTTTCGGAATCTTTCAAGTACTTGGCGATAAAATACTTGATTTACAGTTTGCCCCGGTAGAAGAAATTCTTTGTGGATTCGGCAAAAAAGGTCAAAAAATCAAAATCAATAATCATCGTTTTCACCTTCTACTTGTTTTTTTCCGGCGGGAGGCGGATTGCCTGTTATAACTCGATCAAGCAGCGCCCAATTCGGTGCAAAATTTCATCGCGACGCGTTGCTCTTCATTTCGTTTTTCCATTTTCGTGACGAGCACACGTTTAGTCAACACGACACAGCAGGCGAACTAAACAAGCTAGAGCGATGGCAAATATATCAATTGAGAGAAGAAGGATGCCGGGAGAAGGGAAAGGAATTCTAAAGGTCACGGGGTTACCACAATCGCGGCAATTTAATCAGTCACACTTTGTAAGATAAAGAATTCACATGAGAAGGAAACACCTTGTCTGAAACCTCATTTAGTGTCGAACGGAACGGAGAGGTCCTTCCCAATCCTTAAGGAGCTTAACGACACAGTAAATAATATAAAATTTGCGGGGATGCCGAATTCATGCGTATTTTCCAAACTTTGGCGTATGGTGATTACTCGTGAATTGTGGCTTTCCCACGCATTAAGTCAAGCTGGTATTGATAAACCAGTGACGATGAGTTTTAGCCTTTCACATATATATATACTGCACTCATTGGGCAGAGCACTATTTGCCCCCGATCGCCTGGCATGCTTTCATCCGCCCACAGTCTGCAAAGTAATTTATGTATGCCCCTTGTGAGCCCTTCATCCCCATATTTGAATAACTCGGCCGTCATGTTGTTTTCAAGCGTGCGACTTCATATTCGGGCATTGAAACATCTGTTCCTTTGTGGTTTTCTATTATCACTGGCATTCAGCAGGCTGGATTACTGTTTCCTCTGAGTATATACCCTGGGCACTTCTCTAGGTTTGCTCCTGGAATTTCCTTCAGTCCTGAAACCGCCCATCGTACCACCTGCGGACTTTTTCGGAGCTTGACATCCCACAGTTTCCATACAACGAGTTGCTGATGAGTGCTCTCAGAGAGCTGGAACTTAGGTCGTAGAAAACCGTTCAGCTGTCTGTTATGATTGCAGCTTTCGACGTCGAACGTTTTTTTGTGTTTGTTGCCGGGTGCTCGTTGATACACAGAGGCTGGAGCCTCTCGAAATGGATGATAGGTCCTGGGTGCTTACAAACGTCATGAACACAGGAGGCATGTATTCAGTCCATCAAAACATGGTTGAGATTTACGACCAGGATAGCCCAGCCAAGTAGCTTGATGAATTTTCTTGTGCTGGAATCTAGTACTACTGACAACTATAATTCCGTCTCCGGCAAAATCGATCAGCCGCAATTCATCTTGGGATGTTTCCCTGATGACAAACACGATTTCAAATTGTGCTCACATCATCTTTTACTTCCATCGAAGTGTGGGCTCAAGACAGTGATATGTTAAAAAATTTGGCTTTGTTGCGGATTGTGCCGAGACTTTCATTCAGCGGGATCTATGCCAGGACTTGGCGACAGAGTTTATCTCCCACCATGAATCCGACACTAAATTTGCACTCTTTTATGCTGCAAGTAGACTTCACCAAACCCTTTTATCGAACATGTGGCAGTGGGTGCACGAGGTGGACGCAAGAGTAGGAGTTTAGTACAGCCTCAATATCTCCTTTACGAGTTGTAAACTCAACAATTGAGACGTCAGTCAGCATGGGAATTCATAGTAAGTTGATTTTCTCGCACACTCGACCATCTCACTCGTTCGCCGTTTGACTTGAAGTCATAAGCATGGCACTATCATTCGGGATTCACTTTTTGTCGTAGGACGTCTCAGCAAGAGATTGTTAAGCTGATTACAGCAAAAGTTTGTGTCAACTTTAGTTTAGTGGACGTACGAACGGCGGCCATAACAGCATACTAAAGAGGTGCATCGAACCGGTGCCCAAACGTGAAGCCAATCAACGTCGCCGATAGATTATCCATTTAAGAAATATGGTTTATATCTTTATAAGTCATATTATTTATTATAAAGAAAAATTAATAAAAAATATTCCAAAAAGTGGTTGGGAAGTATTTGGAGTTTCCAACATTTTTCTACTTACATTAAAATGTGAAAGTTAGAATAGGTGTAGAATCCCGGAACACAAAGTCCAGAAATATAATGCAGACACCACCAACATCCACATCAGACATAATCGAGACACAACCAAATCCTAACAAACCATTATCCAGATAAGAGCATTATGCTAATTGTCCAGATCAATACCATCCAATTCCGGCCATTAAAGGTTGTTAATCATCAATCGATAGCGCAATCCATTCACCTTCGAAAAAGTTAGGCTCAGTTATACGTTGAGGACGGAGAGGCTTTTCAACAATAAATATTGGGTGGAAAACCCAGGGAAACAGTTGTGCTTATTAACGCAGCCATCGATGTGGAAATAGGCTCCATTACCATCGGATCATTTTCATATATTTCAAGGACGTTATTGATGATCGGTCGGCTTGAGTTTTTGTGTTAACTAATGTTATAAGCCTTAAGACGGTGTAATGACGTTTATGGAATACCCAGTTCCAAAGAACAACGAGAAATGCACAAACCCTGATTTTCTTTAACACTCTGGGATTCAGCAGCAATATTCTCAGTTGTTCCAGAGCGACGTGTAGGTGTTTTATTCTTCACATCCCTAACTGGTCCCCAACAGCTCTATTTCATCCATCAATGAGGGCGACTCAATGATTCAATCACTGACGTAGTTTTTACTTGTTAAATGTCAAAAAATCTCAGTTTCAGTATAAAACCTCTTATTGTTATTTCTTACAGTTTTTTTAAATGATCATTAAAGAGTTTTCTAAAAAAACTTTAAATTAGTTAAAAAAATAATTATTAATTTATTTTTAGTCTTTTAGGGATAAATATATGTATGTGATGAGTTTGTCTAGTTGGGATTACGGAGTGCTTTCCAGAAATAATTCTTTTTTAATACTGCAAATTGCAAACAAAATATCTCTTTGAAGTGCTACATATAGATTTAGATATCCAACAAGAAAAATTAGCTCAATAAACATCATAAATTTTAACTTTGGAGTACTTTTTTTCACGTTACTGTGCGCTTTTTATATCCAAATAAATAAAGGAGCAAACTAGACCAAGGCAGTTTGAAGAGATGCTAGAACAAAAACAACAACTACATGCGAATATGTATGAAAAGTAAACAAATTTTGACAATTAGAGGTAAATAAATTCGAAAGGAAAATCATTTAACACTTTAGTGGCTACCACCGGTTGGATTTGCCTCAGCCAAAGCGAATCGGTTATTAAAAATGGAAATCTATTACTGAAAAATAATTTAAAATTATCTAAAAAGAAACATCAACTTAAGAAAATTGAAAAAAGTAGCACGTAATTTTAAAGTGAAAAGCAAATTTAATATATTTAGGTCAGATGGACAGTCGTATGTTTGGAGAAAAGAATTTACGTCCGACTGTTAAACACGGGGGCGGCTCAGTAATGGTATGTGGTTGTATGTCCGCAGCTGGTACTGGAAATTTGAGTTTCATAAATAGCAATATGGACCACAAGCAATATCTGACCATTTTAAAAGAAAACTTAGTGCACAGTGCGGAAAAGTTGGGAATTAAAGACAATTTCTAGTACTCCCAAGACAACGATCCCACTTGATGTCCGTCTATGGTTGATGTATAACTGTCCTAAAGTGCTTGAAACACCTACTGAATCTCCCGACATTAACGTAATTGAAAATTTGTGGGCTCATTTGGAAAATAAATTGAAATTGAATGTTGTTAGAAAGAAGAAAGACCTAGAAGCTGCAATTTTGGAAGAGTGGGGGGAAATAAATTCTTTAACATGCAAGAAGCTAGTTGAATCTTTGCCAAGAAGACTGAATGCTATCAGAAAAAGTAAAGCTGCTGACCAAATATTAAGAATATTTTGTTTCTCTTTAAATAATTTTTTTAAAATTCTATGTTATGTATATGTCCATGTTCTTTTTTGTCATCAGTTTTGTTAAGTTGTTATGTTCATATTATTTTTATACGGCCGAATTGTATTTAGTTTATGGTATGGAAATATATGCTAAACAGAAAGCCCTCGATTTGCATTTTATTATATATTTTTTTGTTTAAAGTCATATAACTTGTGTGTCCGAGTTCATTTTTGAGCCACTGTATATGTATGTTTACAATTAACGCTTTGTAAGCGCTGAAGCTATTTTCGTTTGATCTCTTCCTCCAAATTTTTGGTATGTGTCTTTATGGTTTTTCAACAAATGGAGAAACATACAGTTCATACTAAGCCGCCTCGGAATAGCTGATAGTTTTTTCAAATCAGAAATACAACCGAAGGGGTTGACAATCTCTGACAAGGTGCGCCCCAAATTAGAAATATAAATTTACTTTAATTTTGATGTTTCTTTGGATTTACAATTCAATGAATTAACGCATGTCTACTATTGACATAGTTGATCCATAATAGCCACTCGGCTTGCAGAAAGGCATTTTTTCCAACAAATTCCAACGCGATAGCATTGTCATTTCGATCTACTCGTCATGTTTATACCAGTATGCTGATTTTAGGCATGAGTAAGTCCAGACGTAGGCATGAGTAAGTCCAGACGTAGTGATGCAGTTTTGAAGTTAGAAATGATTGTTATCTACTTCATTGGCCATCGATCAACAAAGAGTTGATTATTTATCTCGAAACAATAGTCACATAAGTGTTTATGGAGTCCTGTGTCAGTGTTCCGCTTCCTTCTGCTCCCCTGAAAAATATTGTATTATAAAAAAATTAATTTGAGTATTAAGCTTATAGATTCAAAATGTTTTTTCGTTCAATTATTTAGTATACAACTTCAAGCAATCTTAACCAAAAATGGTATCGGAGAATTTTCCAAAGCTGATACATTTTTGACTTTCTATTCGCAACTTACATCCGTCGTAACTTAGGGTACTTCTGTAATTATATCATTACCATTAATTAGTTCTAGCTGGTTAGAAGAAACTGTAACTTTTTCATTCCCTTCTTACCTGCTCGATGTATTTACCCCAATAGTGGAATAACGTGGTGTTCTTCAATAACGTAAATTAAATAACTTAGCAAGGTTCCAGATAAATTTCAAAAATACAGTTTAAATATATACGAATGTCTATGTATATAATTTACCCTTTGTAATCGCTAAAGAGCTTCTCGGCTGGCCTCATCCTCAAATTTGAGGACGCTTAGCGTTGATATTTTTCCAACAAATTTAGCTATCTAAACCAACTCCGAACGGCCGAAGGATTTTAATGTTAAACTTTTACTTCACTTAGGAAATACACTCATAGAGATTGACATTCCATGCCGAGGGACGATTAAAAATTGATTTTCTAAAATGGGGTTGTTTGTCGAAACAGCACTCGAACCAAGAAACTATGAGAGGTTTTTACTAGATACTTTCATTTTCGTTTTTACTTGCACAAATAACAATGTCAAATTTTCAAAAACAAATGACAATGAAAACATCGCTCGTTCGCAAAACTTTTCCCTTGAAGACTCCCAAGGCCGACTCATCGGATATCGAAATCGTGCTACTGCACCATACAATAGAACGGCAGTGAAGAGTAACTTATAGTGCCTGGTTTTTGTTCATCGAGAGAGAACTTTACTTTTCAATGGCCTACTCGGTCCAGAGTGCAGAGATATTTAGCGTTGGAATTCAAATCTGACGATGTTATTGGTGTTAATGCTGGTCTTTAGATAGACGTAATTATATACGATCACGAAATTATGACTGCCAAAACTGACATGGAAGCCAAACAGTAAATTTGCCAACTCTTTGTTTGATGTCAGAAGATATTTTGTCTCGTCCTCGTTTACTGCCAGACTCATTCGATTCGTTTCTTTCAAGTCAAGATGACAGGACTAAGGGCCCGGTATACGCCAGCCGTTGTAAAAATAATGGGCTAAATACTTGCCATTAATACCCGATCTCACCCGTACTGTCCTCTTCCTTACTTGTTTATTATACAGTTAATCCAAATATGACGCTATGTACATATGTAAGAGTAAATGAGCGTGTATATTTTTAAAATTGTTGTTTATTCGCACCGAGCAGTAGCAGCAGCAGCAGGTCATAAACAACTTAAGCATTCTGCGAAAATACATAGCAGAACCGTTTCAGCATTCTGGGTGTGCAGTTTGGCGCGTGGGGAAATTTTTGCCAATTTTTTATTTGTTTAAAACATATTTATATTTATTGCCCTGCCTGTGCTCAATGTTTTCGATTATATAAAACACTTTTTTTCTTTTTCGTATTGTGTTTTATTTGTGTATTTTATTAATGTAATTAAGTGCAATGAATTTATCAATATCCACGCTTATACTGCTAGTTGCTACCGGCGCTATCATTGGCACCAATGCCAACACCACCACAGTTCCAGAGTCGTCGATTTATCGCCTAAATTCACATGTGCTGCCGATCTCTTATGACATTTGGTTAAAACCATATCTTCTAGCCACGGATGGTGAGCGCCGATTCACCTTTGATGGTGAAGTCAATGTAACGTTATACGCAACGCAAGCAAATACAAGTGAAATCACCCTGCATGCGCATCTGATTAATCTAGCCAACATATCACTGTACAACGATAGCAATGCGGAGGAGCTTCTACAAACGTTCACCTATAGTGATATAGCGTACGATGGAGACACACATCAATTGACATTAATTTTGAAAGATCAGCTGACGTTGAAGAATAAATTTAGATTGCGTCTTGCGTACACAGGGCAAATACGCGACGGTATGCAAGGATTCTTTCGCGCCAATTACACCGACCACGAGGGCAATGAGAAGTGAGTTAGTGTGTTCATAACAAATAGCCCAGTGGTTAGTATTGCGTATTAATAATGATTTGAGTCCAAGTCTGAACAAATATCCGAAATCATAGAAAAAGAGTTGGTAGTCGTCCCTAGGCAGATAATGTCAAGTCCTTCGAGTTTCTTTCCGACATGAAACACAAAGCTCTTCATAAAAATCCATTGGCCGTTGTGCGGGGGCTTAAAATAAGCTGTAGTCTCTCCAATTTGTGGTCAACCTTTTGATGTTTTTCCAACCGAATTTGGATTATACATACGTACATATATATTACATGCACTTTACAACCGCTTAAGTGGCTCTCGACCGAGCGCTGAATCTTGATGTCGTTGAAACAAATGGAGAGACCTAGAGTTTATTCCGCCATTGAGAGATTTTTATTTTTTATAGGAAATGCACTCGGAAGCATTGGCTCTGCCGAAGCCGAATGGCGAGCTGATGCCCGTATATCCGTTTATGTCACTGTCTGTCTGTGTGTAGCTAAATTTTTCACACTGTATTTATATTGGCGGCAGCAGTGACCAAGTGATTGGGATTGCGTACTTCCAATCGGAAGGCTCGGGTTCAAATCCTCGTGTCATACTAACACCCAAAAAGTTATAGGAAATTAATTTAAATAAAAAATTAAGCTAAATTTTTTAATTGCCCTCGACAGGGAATGTCAGCCCCTCCGAGTGTGTTTCTGACATGAAATAAAGCTGCTCATAAAACAAACCATTAGCCGTTCGCAGGCGGCTTAGTAAAAACTATAGGTCCCTCCATTTGTTGGAAAACTATCAAGACGCATAACCACGAATTGAAGGAGCTCGGCGGAAAATCGCTTCAGCCATTAGTTACATGTCGAAATTAGCCAGATCGATCCTTTCTGCCCATTAGTACGTACTGCTAACTACTCTGCTTAATGATTTACAAAATTCAAATGCATTTACTACACTTTATTGAAATTACCCCCTACTTACACCGAAGCTGTTGCTCAAAGGTCTTATTTTCTCATAAATAATAAAATGAAAAAAAATTTTTTGCTAATAAAAACAACTTTACATATGCGTAGGGATTTACTTTTGACGTAAAACAAATAATTTTTGAAACGGTTGCTTATCAATATATTGTACATATGATTAAGCATATTTACTCTGTATCAAATATTATAATTAACTTCCAGATGGATTGGTGTAACACAATCACAACGCATCGATGCTCGCACCATCTTCCCTTGTTTTGATGAGCCCGCTCTTAAAGCTAAATTCAGCTTGCAATTAAGTCGTCCGAAAAATTACAGAACTGTTTTCAATACGGAATTGTTGGAAAGCATACCGGATGGGTGAGCTTATTAAAAATTATTGTTATCATTTTTTATAACGTCTAGACAATCATAAAAATGCTTCTTTGTTTGAATTATACATCAATAAAATAAATTACTCCCTGTTTGTAGTGATGATCGTATGTTGGATCGTTTTGCGGCGACGCCACCCATGTCCACTTATCTAGTCGCCTTCATTGTTTCGGAATTTGAAGAATATGGCAGTGATGAACTGAAAATAATTACACGTGCAGAATATCAAAATAAAACACACTTCGCATACGAAGTAGCCGAACGAGCGATCAATGCTTACGATGTGTACACGCAACAGCCCTATAAAGAGTTGGGTTTGGATGTTATGCAAATGGCAGGATCGCCGAAATTCCCACACAACGGAATGGAGAATTGGGGTTTAGTTATTTATACGTAAGAAAATTCTTAGATATGTACATATACATTATTAGTCTGTATTATAGCTATAACTGTTTTATTTCAAACTTAGTGACGATGTGCTCGTCAACGAACCTGACTACACCGACGGCTGGTCAAATAAGGAATACACGCTCAGCGTAATAGTACATGAAACGGCGCATATGTGGTTTGGTAATAGTGTCACTTTTGCTTGGTGGAGCTATTTCTGGTTAAATGAGGCTTTCGCGCGGTATTATCAATACTTTATGGCACACCAGGTATGTATTTATGTATGTGGCCAAGCGTAAAAAAAGATTGTAATCAATTGATATTTATTTATGACTGATATTCAAGTTATTTTGTAACCCCCCAGAGCTTCAATTCATTTATATACTTATGTATTTATGTATGTATATTTTTTGTATTTTTTATGATGTATGTAGCTATATCCGGAATACCATTTAGATCAACAATTTGTAGTAAATCAAATACATTTGATATTTGGCATAGACGCTGTTGGTAGTACACAGCCGATGACTAGTCCGGAAGAAAGTATAAATACTCCATCGGAAATTGGTTATAAATTCAGCAGTATTGCTTATGCAAAGGGCGCCGCCATTATACGTATGATTGCCAATCTTATGGGACTGGATAACTTCGATAACGCCATTCGTGCTTATCTCAAAGAATAGTAAGTGTAAACAAAATGTGCGCCTTTTCATATACATATACATATACATATACATATACATACACATACACATACACATACACATACACATACACATACTATTTACTATATTACCCACTATTTGCTTAGAGCCCACAGAACAGTTTCCTATTTCCCACTCAAGAAGTGAGTCTGACGATGTAAATTTGCTTGGAAAGTCTACTTCCATCCATCTTCATCCAAGAAAGTTAGATGTAACTAATGTATATGAATGAAATCAACCAAAGTTTGTTATGGTCTGCAATGCAGCCTTTTTCTTGCCCTCTGTGGTATACTTGCCGTGTCCAAGACTCGTTTATGATCAATTTAGATTTTTTTCCGCAAATCTTAACTCTAGAGGCGACTTTATTATTGATAAATTATTAATTAGATGGAGTGCTTAGTAGTGCGCAGTACTATGCGGAGGTCCATAAGTGCGAACCTGGCCAGACGAAAATAAGTAATTACAGAGTAAATTTAGTTCAAGTACTATGTTTAGCTCATCGTTCCATACTCTGCTGTATTCGCCGTTGCCAATACGTTGAGGGCACTAAATCGTTCGCAAACTTTTTCTCTCGAAAACTCCCATGGCTATCACATCGGTTGTCGACATCGCCCATGCTTCTGCTCCATGCAGTAAGACTGGAATGAGGAGTGACTTGTAGTGACTTCTCAATTGCTTACTCAGTCTAACTGGTTTAGGCAAAAGTTATTGGTGGCAATGCAGGTTCGGAGATAGACGAAATTATCAACGACTTTGAAACAGTGAGAGCCGAGCCGCAAAAGTGACTGCCTCAAACTCGTTTGGTATCAAACTGTTTGGAAAAGACCTACGCAATTTTGACGTCGCTTCTGGTGTTAATTTACACAGCCGTATAAATTTGGCAAGAATACCAATTTCAGACCCAGTGGCGTAAAGGCAGCTCCTTTTCCTAATGTCGAAGGCTGCTTTAATATCGTCGAAGAGGTGGTGGGTGTCGATTCTTTTCTCACGGGTGTTTTCCAAGATTTGTCGCTTGGTGAATATCTGTTCAATGATGGATTTACCAGGACTGAAGCCACACTGATGAGGTCTAATCAGTTTATTGACGGTAGGTTTTAGTATTTCCCACAATATATTCGATAGTATCGTATATGGGGCGAACTTCTGTAAATTTTCCGGCAATAGAACTATTTTCATATCCTTAAAAAAGTTTCTCATAAGCCATGATGTACCGAAAGTTTGGTGTACGTTAGTTTTAAGCAAAAAAATACTGAATACAAATATTTATTTGGCTTGCGTTAATATAAATTTCTTATCTTTCACAGTTATTTAAAAAATACCACACCGGAAGATCTTTTCAAGCATTTAAAACAACACTGGCCGTCCTCCCATCAGGTTGATTTGGATGCGTTTTTCCATGACTGGACCGAACAGGTCGGCTTTCCAGTGCTCTTCGTGAACATCAATGATAAGCATGAAATTGAACTTACTCAACAGCGATTCATACTTGGCCTAGGCGATGGCAGTAACGACACACTCACTTATACCATACCCATTACATATGCCACGAACGTGGAATCCGATTTTAATAATCTCACCGCACGTTTCTATGTGCCGAATAATATGAATAAGACTTTCACTGTGGACAAACCTTTCAAGTGGATCATTTTTAATCTACAACAATCCAATTACTATCGCGTCTTCTATGACATGACGACCTTAAAACACATCAAAACCGCGCTCTCAATGAAACAGCACGACGGCATTCCACCCACAAATCGCGCCCAGCTGATCGATGATTCATTCAACTTTGCACGCATTGCTATGATGGACTATGATGAAGTGTTCCAATTTTTGGAATATATAGAAAACGATACGGATTATTTGCCTTGGTATGCAACATTTTCAAATATGCAATTTGTCGCACAGCGATTGACGCTGCAACAACAGAGTTTATTTGTTAAATACTTGGACGACATTATGACCAAAATCTATACACATTTAGGGTTTACACGCTCAAATGAAACGGTACTCGATATTTATAATAGAAATAAGGTCGTTAGTTGGGCTTGTAAATATCATTTGTTCAAGTGCGGCGGCCAAGCACAAGAGTTCTTCAACACTTCCATAAAGGTCGGCAATAAACCGACACCAGATTTTCGAGAAACCCTCTATTGCAGTGCGACAAGAGATGGCGCATTTTTCTATTACCAAACGCTGAATGAGTGGTTTGAGAAGGAGAAACTGAATAGTGAGAAGAAGAAGCTTATATACGCAATGGGTTGTACACGATATTTCTACGCTTATCACTATGCCAGGATACTAAATGGTGACATACCAAGTGACTATGCAGCAGCAGGTATAACACCAATGTATGCGGAGAATCCAGAAAATGTGGAGCCTGTATTCATTATGATAACCAATACCAGTGAGCGGCTTGCGGAAAGGTAAATTAATTTAATTATCGGCTTTTGTCTTTGGACTATGAGTAATAATATATATTTATGTAGATGTATCAAGTACAATAATAGATGAGCCCACGATGCCAAATCAGAATTGACTCAAGCTACGTGGAACCCTATTAGATTTAAATGGTTGGACCGAGTAAATTTTTTTCCTAATTTTTTCAAAAATAGCATTAGACATTCATAAGCAACAATGTATTTTTTTTGGGGCTACTGTTTAAATTTGCCGCCTACGAACGACTGATTTTTATTTTCAGTTTTTCGTTTCATGTCAGAAATAACCGAGTGGTGTTGACATTTCCTACTGAGGGTCTATTTTTTGATTCAAAATCAGGGGAAGGTCCCCTTTAAATTGATTTCCCATCAGTTAGATGCTGTTCAAATCGATGACACTTCGATTGGTTAGGTCAGGTTGGGTTGAGCTGGCTGACTCGTTGGGTCTCACATAGATGATAATACATACACAGTGCAGCCAGACACACTACATGCGACCGAGCTGCACTGCTACGCTCCTACTGGGTCTCTAGTGTGGAGAATATTACTGTTCTCTTCAAGAAGTTAAGTAGTCGTTCTGACTTTTGGCCGTTGGTGATTGAAGTACCTGTAGGCTTTGTGTTCCAAGTAAGCATAGTCTTAGTCTGCCAATTGCTAGACACTCACAGATTACGTGTTCCACTATCTCCACACATTCCTTACATTCCTCGCACTCTCAATCAGTCCTATATTAAAGGCATGCGACGCCAAAGACAATGCTCCTTTAATGTGTCTATCAGCAGTCTGGAGTTCGTCATCTTTACAGATGGTACAAAACCTTTTGTCAGCTTAATATCATACTTTTTATATATAATATTCGCCATTCTGCAACGCTTAACTCGTTCCCAGAGTCTCTTCGCCCGACGAATCAGTATTACTTCTTGCTTTTTCTCCGCTTCCCAGAAGGGAATGGAAGTCTCGTTACTACACCCTGTTCTAAATAAACACTCTTCTTAGCCAGTTCGTCAAACCCTTTTTTCAGACAGTACTTGAATCGCTTCTTTACATAGTGCGACCACAGCTAACTTCGTGCTGTATGAAATTAGTTTGGTAGCTTATCTGCCTTTCTTATCTCTAGTTGGACGCAGTAAACTGAAGCCACCACTCCTTCGTACATTTTGAAACCAACTGTAAAAACATGAAGAGCTTTGTCTGCTTGTTTCAGATTTTGCTTCAGCCACTTGCCTCTATTGTAGCTGAAAACAGTTTGTATGAAAGTCAGATGCCAGTAAGCACGAAGCTCCGCAGAAATTAGGAATGCTCAGTATGCGAGAGGTATACTCGAAATATCGCATTTAGCACTGCTGCTGGTATTGTTTTGAATACCCCAGTGATGCTGATCATTAAAAGTCTGAATACTCTTTCCAGCCTACCCAGATGTGAAATTTTGTCCAAAGCTTTCCACCATATTTAAGCTCAGTAGAAAAGTATTGACTTAGCAATCGCAATGAATCTCCAATTAGGTATAAGGTGGAGAGACCCCGAGTGTAGCCCAATATCCTTTTGCATGTATATAGAGCCGCTAAAGCCTTCTTCACTTGATCCTCTATATGGAGTCTCCACGACAACTTGCTGTCCAACACAATTCTCTGATATAGGGGGCTAGGTTTCAGCTGTAAAGCTTTGGTTTGATAAAATCAGGAATTTTATATTTCCTTACATACAATAGGACCATCTCTGTTTTATCAAAATTAACCTTGAGTCAAACTGAAATAACCCAGTTTTTAATGATTTTAAGTGCCTGATTCGCCAGATATCCGAGGGATGGCAAGCACTTACGCCCCACTATGACTTAGATATCGTTTGCATAGACAGTAGGATGGCAGTCCCCTTCCAACATCCTGAGCAATCTCGACAGAGTCCAGAGTAGAAGTGATATCATTCCATCTTGTGCCTATCGGTAATAGTTTTTTATAGTCTTTAATAAAAAGTTTGCGATTTTTTTTCTTTAAAAAACAACTGAGCTGTGTCTTTTTTCGCAGAAATATGTCAATATCACCGTATAACTCGAACAGCTCATCGTTCCATCGTCTGCGATATTCGCCGTTGCCAATGCGCAAAGGACCATAAATCTTACTCAAAGCTTTTCTCTAGGAAACTCCTAACGCTGACCCATGGGATGTTGTCATCGTCCATGCTTTCGCATTCTATAGCAGGGCGGGAGCGATAAGGGGCTTGTAGAGTTTGGTTTTCAGTCGTCGGGAAAATACTTTACTTTTCTATTGCTTACTCAGTCTAACTGGTGCTAGGCAAGAGTTATTCTCTGTTGGGTTTCACGGCCGAAATTGCTGTTGGTGTTAATACTGGTTCCTAGATAGACGAAATTATATGCAACCTAGAAGTTACGATCGCCAACATAAGTCGCGAATGCGATGACTGTTTGTGTGATGACCGGAGATATTTCGTCTTGCCCTCGTTACCTACCAGACCCATATCCTTACTTATCCAGCCTGGAGAAAGCAGAACTCACGGCGCGGTTGTTGAGGCCAATAATGTCAATATCATCGGCATACGCCAAGAGGTATTCTTATAGAAAATTCAGCTTTGCAGCTCGTATTATTTTCTCCAGTTATAAGTTAAAAATCCTCCCAATCCTGACGGAGCGTTTAGTGTTGCTTAACGTCAGTTTACATAGCCAGATAAGTTTTACGGGGATACCAAATTCAGCCATTGCGGCGTAAAGGCTGTCGAAGGCGGCTTTAAAATCGAAGAAGGGGTTGTTTGTCTGTTTTTATTTTCACGGGTCTTTTCGAAGATTTGGCAACTGGTCAATGGTTGACTTACTAGGTTTAAAGACACACTGATAAGGTCCAATCAGTTTGTTGCCTGTGGGCTTTAGTCTTCCAATACAACACGCTCGACAGGACCTTATAGGCGATATTAAGGAGGTTTATCCCACGATAATTGGTGCAATCTGTTCCCTCCATAATTCAATATACTTCTGGCATCTGTGGCAAAATCACCTCTTTGTGTCCTACAAGTGTCTGCTCCGGTCTTGAAACCCTCCGTAAGTCGTTGTATCTTCTCATAGAATTTCCGAGTATTATCCTTGTCGGCCAGCGTCTCAAGCTCTTCATACTCACGCATCCCGACCACTTTCTTTTTTGTCTGCAGATGAGTCTTGCTTCCTGATAAAGGTACTTAATAACAAGTTGCTAAATATATTAATTTTCTAAGCTCGACTAAATTTCAGAATCTCTTTTGCTAAAAGTGTACGAGTACATAAAAATAAAATTCGAATTTGCCAAAATAAATTAAAATCCCTCGCTATAGCCCAGGCCATGATTTTTACATACTTACATATCTCTTCTTATATAACTTTTATTATTTCTTTTACAACAGGATCGGATGGCCAAGTGTAGCTAATGTCATTAAAGACATCGCAAATTACTTAACCACGCCAGAGCAAAAACAAATATTGGACGATTTTGTCACGGAGAAAGGGGAATATTTTGGCAACTCCTTTTCGACTCTTCAAATTGCCACCGCTACTGTGGAATTGAATTTAGAGTGGGCGAAGCTACGTTTGCCAAAACTTATACATTACTTTGAAAAACGGAATTCAGCTGGAAGAAAAAGTGTAACTGTGATTTTGCTCATATTTGTTTGTATTATACAATGGTTCCTCTAAGAGTTATATTAAAAAATTTTAAATTTAAATAAATAATTTTCTCATAATTTAATCGGTTTTCCTGAAATTAATTAATGATTGTGCTAGATGGCCCTATACGTAACTTGAAATGAAATCCTGTTTGCAATTATAGTTTTAACTTGTCTTAAAATGTGTTTTCCAGAGACGAAAGAAGAGAAAGAATGGTTCTTTAATCGCTCGTTTTTAGACGTGTACTTATACTTCGGGTATCCGAGTTCACAACATTGTGCCGTTTATTTCTGCTTTGCGCTGTTTGGCGCCCATTGGAAACACCAAGTACAGCCAGGTCCATCTCAACCTGGTCTTTTCAACCGAGTTGAGGTTTTTCTAGTTCTCGGCTTCCACTGGCGGGCTGGAGTACTCTTATCCACTCGGAACACATGATCAAATAAGCCGAAACAACCGCTGATGATACAATACTTTTTTCGGGTATCCGAGCTCACATCATTGTGCCGTTTATTTCTGCTTTGCGCTGTTTGGCGCCAATTGGAAACACCAAGTACAGCCAGGTCCATCTAAACCTTTTCGGCTTCCACTGGCGGGCTGAAGTACTCTTATCCATTCGGAACACATGACCAAATAAGCCGAAACAACCGCTGAATATTGATTCGTTGAACTATGTCAATGGCGCAGCTCATCGTTCAATTGCCTATGCGCACAGAACCATAAAACGTTCCCAAAACTTCTCTCTCAAAGACTTCCAGGGCCACCGCATCGGATGTCGAAATCGCCTACGCTTCTGCACCATTTGGTAGGACTAGAATAATGTGTGGCTCGCAGAGTTTGGTCTTCGTTCGTCGGGAGAGGACTTTACTCCTCAATTGCAAACTCAGCCCAAAACACCATCTGTTGACAACAGTGATTCTGTGCTGGATCTCCGGATGCTGGTTTGAATGCTAGTTTCATGGTAGATTAAATTATCTACGACTTCGAAGTTATGGCTGTCTACTGTGACGTGGAAGCTGAGTCGCAAATGCGATGAAATGTAGGATATTGCTGTGGGCGAACTTTGGTTCTAACGAAACATCGTTACATGTTATACAACCAATGAGATGATCAAGTTATTGAAGGGAACTTTGGTGAGCGCATTATCTTGCGTCGAGAGATTGTGCCATAGGCTCCAAAGATTGTCCGAGTTAAAACCGCTGGACTATTTCTTGTGTTCCCATTTGAAGTCGCATGTCGATACAGATAAGTCCAATACGATTGACTCATTCTAATATGTATAGAATATTTGGTCCCCCAATTGGTCGAACATTGGGCCTCTTAACTAAATAATCTTTGAGCCAGTCGCGACAGTCGCTTGCCTGAAATCATTATTAAAACTTAATGACAAGCTCTTGCGTTTATAATAAAGCTTAATTCTTGGCCATAACATTGAAGAACTTTCCGGTACCAATGCGTCACAAGTGTTAAGTAAAACTTTTCTGCAACATTCATCTTTTCCCGCTCATTCTGCTTCACTATTCAGTCAGTCAGTTCTGTGGTTTGAATTGACACAGCCACATCAGTTGGGCGGAGAATAACAAATTCAGACATAAAGTCGTAAAAGCAGAAAAGATCTGCGCAATCCAAGGATGCTCAAAATCGATGAAGAGTTGATACGAGTATTTGATCCATGGTGGTTCAATCAGGTGATGACGGGCTTTAGTCTTTCACACAATACGGTAGACTACACAATAGACTGATCCAATCATAATTGGCACAGCTTCTAGGTTCTCCCTTCTTAAGTACGCTGCGTTCTATAGAAATTTTCAAAATAACCCATTATTTCGATGGAATTTTCGTTTTTCCTTTACAAATGTGTCTCGCTGTCCTCCCAGTATCTTTCAATTGCGTTACCATCGATCGCAAAGTTGTAATTAAAGATAGCACAGTAACCCTCATCGTATCATCTCTTTTTCGATGTTATTTTGATATTCACAGAAAAATGGAATTTTTTGAGGAAGATTTGCCATTAATAACGAAAAAGAATACCAGCCAAATGGGCGCCACGGCCACGCTTAGAGGATCGTATCCTTTTTATGAAGCTTTCTATCAGCAAATCGTAAAACCGCTGCTGTATGCCCTCAATAGCTTCACGAATACCATCTTTGAGATCCTGAAGTTGTTAAATCGCAACACCTCGGTGGCCAATTGCGATCGCCTCTTTGAGAGATAACACGATCCGGAAACTTTTCTCTTAAAAGGTCGATGTTTTCATTGTTGTGTGGCACACAGCGCCATCTAGTTAAAAGTAAACGATGTCCAGATCAATATGATCAAATTTCAGCCGTAAAAAAATCAAAATAATCACATCTAGATAGCGCAATGTAACGATAAATTACCCTGCCAGACCATAAATCGCAGGATTTTTCATTATATATCTTGGGTTTACCGAACTGCAAATGTGTCAGTTTCGCTTATTGACGTACGCATCGAAGTGGAAATGGGTCTAATCCGTCAAGATAATTTTTCAATGAAATTCTGGATAATTCTCATGGATTTCCAGCAACCAATTAGCAATTACACAACATTGTTGATCATCGGCCGGCTTGAGTTCTTGTGTTAACTGAACTTTACAAGCTTTAAGACCCAAGTATCTATGCAAAATACGTCACGTGAACTTCTAGAAATAGACAAACCTGGGCTTTCTTCTACACTTTCGGCTACAGCAGCAATATTATCAGTTGTTCGTGAGCGACGTACCCATTTGTTCCTCACATCAATAACTTGTCCCAACAGCTCGAATTTTTCCACCAATTTCTGTATAACGGTCCAACAAGGTGTTTACGACGAACGAAAAATGTTTTACTTCTACGAAGCGTCTCTGCCAAGTTTTCACCATTTTTATGGTTGAAGCGTGTATTACTGGCGTAGTTTTCACTAGTCAAATGTCACAATATTCCAGCTTCAAAAGTAACCGGAATAGCAGGGTATTCTGAAATTGAATTTATTCGAAATTCGGTAGATTTTTTATTCCCAGAAGTGGACCAGAAAGACATCTCTTTGAAGCTTTGTTAAGACCCCCCGTCTATCATTATCTATATGCTCCTTTACCATACTAATTTAACAATAAGTGGCCTGATCTTCTAATTTATATATTTATGTTTTTGATCTGTGATCTTAAATTTGTATATAAAAAAATTCTATTTTCATACTTTTTAAGCAACTCTAATTTTTTTCTTTTTTGTTACTCCTTTTTTTGTATTCTTTATGCACATATCCCTCATGTAGCTTATAGAATAGTAGATGAGAAGGATCTATAAAGTGTGGTGATTGTTTCCTTTCTTGTTTTAAAATTTATATACATTTTTAATTTTAAATGTATTAACAAAAAAAAAAAACAATAATTTCTGTTACTTGTGTTGTATTAAATGTATTTACAATGAATTGTATTTCGTCAATTCTTTTGCTGCTTCTGAAAATAGGCGCCCTATCCGTGGTCAATGCCAATATCGGTGAACCGATATACCGCTTGAATCCACATGTGGTGCCAGATGCATATGACATTTGGTTGCGTCCATATTTATTGCCATCGGATGGATTATATCGATTCACATTTGATGGCGAAGTCAATATAGCATTCCATACGACAATCGCGAATATCGGTGTAATTACTTTGCATTCCTATATGATTAAGATCACTGCTGCAGGTTTATATGACAACAGCAAAGGTGGTCAAATTGTGCAGTTATTCAATAGCGAGGATTTGACTTTCGAAAAAACACCACAAACATTAACGGTACATTTGAGAGATGACCTAACGATGCAACACAACTACACCATACGCTTCAATTACGCTGGACAAATACGCGATGATATGCAGGGATTCTTTCACATAAACTACACCGACAGCGACGGCAATGTAAAGTTAGTAATTTTAGTTTACATACTCGTATATATATATAAATATTCTTAAGGATGATCAATGTGATGAAATAAATCACAAAATGTAAACGAACCCTAATAATAATGAATTGCAGTAGATACTAACATAACTCCATATTACTTACCCAATCGCGATGGAAGAAAATTTTTGAATCCCCTTGGAATTCATTTACGAGGTCTGTTCGATAAAAAGTTACACATACCACCATACACGTATACAGCCTTGGCCAGAAGTATTAGGCACCCCACTGTTTTAACAAGTGAAAAGTGAAGTTGTTAAGATGTACATTTGACTGTCCATGCGACCCTCGCAAGCGAACATTTCGCCGGCACCATCAGCAGTCATGCAGCCCTAGATCATAATGTTGCCTTCACCATACTTAACAGTGGGTACCACGCAATCTGGATGATATTCTTGCCAGCCCGTCGCCTCACGAACGTCACATCAGGTGCTCCAAATATCTGTAGAAAAGAAAAAAATATTTTTCATAAGATTTGTCAAATTGCTCTAGGGTAAGAAGCTATGGCAGTTATTATTTTAAGATGATCTTACCTCGCAGTTTGATTGAACAGAGCACAGAACATTCGTTCAATCTTCTGTGGTGAAATGTTGGTATCTGCGAGCCCATTCCAAAATATTTTTCCTAGTCTTTTCTGAGAGCCACGGCTTCTTTGCCATCTTACATCTTTTTAAACCAGCTTCCAGAAGTCTTCTTCTAGCTGTTCGAGCACTAAATTTACTAAATTCATCCGAAAGGTCAGCTGCAAAGAAGACTTTTTGCGATCCTTGAGAGACTCGCGTAAAATGGCGTAATCTCAACCTGAGACTTACCTTATTCGTTTAGAACTTGAATTCTAACGCTATCATCGTAACTAATTTCGCTTTTTTTAGACATTTCGGTTTATAAGTGCTTCAAGCACTTTACAGAAGGCCGAGAATATGTTGCTGACGATGAGCGTCCTGGACGCAATCAGCGAAATCGATTCAGCGGTTCATTATTAATTATACAAAGACGCTTCATTTTTATACACATTAGGGTGTTCCATATTTACGCCTAGTTTTTTATTTATAACCCAAAAGCAAATATAAAAACAAAAATAGGTTTTTATACAGGTTTTATGTAGTATTTTTTCGTTTTTACATTTATTTATTTTTCTGTGGCGAAGTAACAAAAAGTCTTGATATATTTTTTGATAATTTCATTTTTTTAATTTCATTTTTCTTTATATTTAATATTTTATCCTAAATTATATTCATTAGTAAGATTAAGAAACAATTGTTCTTCACATTGAGACTAATGTTGGTATATTTTCGCTTGTAGGAAGCATTCGAGATTGTTCTCCGAGTATATCTGGCATGAAATAGAAGTTTCTCATAAAAATCCAAGACGCACACCACAAATGAGAGGATGAGCTCGGGCGAAAATCGCTTATATTTATATAATATTTTGGAGAATTCGTTCACCTTGCTCTTCATTCAAATATCATAAATTTTTTAAGAAGCAATCGAGACGGGATTAAGAAAATGAACTTTTAACCTCATTAGATAACCTAAAGTTTGTAATCCTTTAACATTTCTTATATATAGTTGGTTTCTCTGTTATTGTATAAAAATTTCTCCGTAAACTCCGCAGTGTGTAACTGCGTCATCAATCCCAGCTTCAAGGTAGAAGAACTTTAACAGAAAGTTTTTTTCGCAAACGTCAAGCACCCTAGGAGACCAACCCTTTTTGGTTGAATGATATATGACTCTAACTAACCCAAAAACACAAAAAGTGAAAAAATTTGGTAACCTCGCATAGTTGTTCATACAGCATGCCCAAGATTTTAAAATAACCCCACATTTTGCTTAAGGATTACCATTACTACTGTAATGGTAGCATATAAGTCGATACTGTGAAGCAGAACTCCTTTAAGGTTTCCTTCCAGAAATAAGTTCCTACTTTCAAACCAAGATCTAGGCAACTCAACAGCGTTTTGGGAAGATTCAAGTGTCTTACCAAATTATTTAGCTTCTTCTTCAAAAACAATTTCGGACTGCTTTCAACTTAACGCGCATACTTTTAGGCTTTAGCTTCTTCTTCTTCGTTGGCGTGGACACTTACGCGATTACAACCGAATCAACAATAGAGCAATATTCGGTTTTTCTGTTCGCCATTTGGAGATACCAAATGAAACCAGATCGCTCTCCGTTTGATCCTTTCAATGGAGTGGAGGTCTTCCTATTCCTCTGCTTGCACTGGAACGCATTCCTTCATTCTGACGACATGACCTAGCCAGCGTAGCCGCAGTCTCTTCGCTGTACAACAACAATGTCACCGTATAACTCGTAAGAAATATCGTTCCACTTCTGCTGAGGACCATAAATTGTTCACAAAACTTTTCTCTAGAAGACTTCCATGATCATTTAGAAGGACGGCAATGATAAGTGACTTCTAGAGTTTGGTTTTGGTTCATCGATAGAGCACTTTCTTTTTCATTTGCCCCTGATGGCAATGGTTGGATTTTAAGGCTGGCATTATTGCTGGTACGTAAATAGAGGAATTTATATCCAACTGGAAAGTTATGAATGTGGAAGCCAAGCCGCAAATACGATGACTTTGTTTGTTTGATGACGGAAGATGTTGACTCTTGTCCTCGTTCACTAGCAGACTCATTCTCTTCGCTTCTTTGTCTAGCTTATTGAATGCCATCGGCATTGACCCGCTTGTAAAAAGATTGTCTATTAGCTCTTCAGCATCAAAGTGGTGAAATCGCAAGTTAAAAAGCCATCCTGTCTGAAGTTTAATATCGAACAGCTCGGAGAACTTCCTTTCAACTCTGGCTGCGCTTTTTGTCTTGCCCAGCGTCAGTTTGAACCTCCGTATAAATTTTGCTGGAATACAAAATTCAAACATAGCGGTGTGTATCGATTCTTTCCTCACGAGTATTTTTCAAGTTTTTCCGCATAGTCAATATCTGATCAATGCTTGATTTACCAGGACTCAAACCACACTGGTAAGGACCAATCAGATCGTTGACCGTTGGCTTTAGTCTTTCACACAATGCAGTTGATACCACCTTATACTCGATACTTAAGGGGTTACATAGGTCTTGAAGGCCAAAAAAGCTTATTTTCTTTTTTTTTTTCTTTTTTTTTTTTTAAATGATACTAAATAAAGTGTACAATTTATTTTGTTTACATATAAAAGTACAGTATGTGGACAACATTTAATAGAAATTTCAATGAAAAATAGTATAAGTTAAGGCGTTGGCAGTGTCATGAAGTAGACCGTCAACAAGAAAGTGCTTTCGCGGTAGTCGAGACAATTTTTTCAATTTTTATCTGAAATCGAAAATCCAACCTTTCCTTAAAGTAGGTGAATCTTCCTTATCCCTTAACGAAGAAAAATTAAAAAATTAAATATTGCATTTTTTGTAGCGTTTTTTACAAAAAACGTTATTTCTTGCATAAAATTAGGTCACAATAAGTTGAAATCAAAGATAATACAAATCCTTCATTCAGGGACTACAAAAACATGCTTAAAAGAAGTATGGATCTCGATCACTTCTATAGTGAGCTCGATCGCTTCAACAGTCGTTGACAAATTTTGACTATCGATTTCGATAAAGTGGTTTTAAGAAAAACGCGTTTAAAGTTGTATTATCGATCAAGCTATGACAAAGGCAGTGAGTTATAAGACTCTCTAATTTCTACAGTTTCGTCTCGATCGACTTGAAACTTGGGGAAACTGTTCCAGACATTTTGTGCGCTTTTATACAAAACATTATAAAAAAATTAATTTTTTGAAGTTTCAAGACCTATGTAACCCCTTAAAAGAGAGAACACATCTCTAACGACCGCAAGCATTTTTTAAAATTACCAGTTTTCTGTTTTAACCTAACTCGCATCGTAGTCTGTTTTCGCACCTTCTCAACATTTCAGATTTTTTAAATTTTGGCGCTTATTGATTTATATGAATACATTTTTTGAATATTTTTTCAACTTTACAACACCTGAATACGAGTATATGGAAATTAGTTAAAACAGCGAGAAAGCAATACCTTTCTAAATATTTTGATTTGGAAATTGATTTTACTCTCACAGTATAAACACAAAAATTCTCAGATGATTTTATTTGCTTGTGAAAAAGAAAAGAGAGATATCACTGAGTCTGATATATTTTATTTTTATTATTCAATTATGTACAAAATTCAACTATAACAACAAAACAGTTTTCATAAATGGGGTTATTCGTTTTAACTGCTTATCTAAAAAAAAACATATTAATTAGATACGAAAGCACATGAAAGTTATTATAGCCCTTGAGATACATTTTTTGTTTTTAGAGTTAAATATTAATTGTTCGAAGTCAATTTCAGATTCCTTGCGTTAACTCAATCCCAGCGCACAAATGCCCGCAGTATATTTCCCTGTTTCGATGAGCCCGCATTGAAAGCAACTTTCCGCTTACAAATAAGTCGGCCATCAATTTTTAAAACAGTGTTCAATGCGGAATTGGTGAGAAGTGTTTCTGAAGGGTGAGTGTTTAGAGACGTCACCTTCCTAATATAATTTACAGTAGCACAAATTATCTTTTATTTAGTAATGGACGAGCTTTGGACCGTTTTTCTGCGACACCTCCAATGTCCACATATTTGGTTGCGTTTATGCTTTCGGAACTTGAGAGTGACTCAAGTGGTTATCTAACAACAATAATACGGCCTGGATATGTTGACAAAATTCCATTTGCTTATCAAGTAACTGCACGCGCTATTAATGCTTTCGATGAGCTCACACAACAAAATTATAATCAATTGGGTTTGCCGTTAATGCAAATTGTTGGTTCGCCCATATTTCCGCACACCGGCATGGAGAACTGGGGTTTGGTTATTTACAAGTAAGACAGTACATAAATCATGTAAATGTGAATATTAAATCATTGCACTTATAATTATTAATATATGTGAGTGTATGCACTTATGTTTGAATTATTTACATAGAGAGGAAGTTTTAATAAACGAACCTGGATACTCAGACGGCTGGTCAGATAAACAACTGACGCTTAATATAATAACCCACGAAATGGCGCATATGTGGTTCGGTAATAGTGTCACAATGGCTTGGTGGAGCTATTTCTGGTTAAATGAGGCATTCGGACGTTATTATGAGTATTTCATGGCACACAAGGTAAACCTTTTATTCACAATTATATATATAATAAACATATGTAAGGATGTAAACTTTAACACCCGCGACCTCGTCTGCATAGAATTTGCAGATGGCTCTAACAAGATTTATTAGGACTATTAAATTATTAATTATATTATATAATTAACTAGTATTTTAGGTGTAGTAAAAAGAGATCCAGAGAGAGACAGTGTCAAGTCCGACCGTCATGTAATCACTCTTTCGTTTGCCAAAGAGCTAAAGATTTCACAAAAAACCGTTTGGAGCCATTTGGACATTGTAACCGCTGAAGCGATTCGAGGCTTTCCGTCTTAATTTTTCACCAACAAATGAAGCCGCCTCCGAATTGCTGATGATCTTTTTTAGGAAGAGCTTTATTTCATGTCCGAAATACACTCCCTGCCGAAAGCGAACACAATTAAAAAGTTTAACTTAATTTTTTATTTTTTTTGGTGGATGTTGGTTGCACCAGGATATAAACCTGAGCCTTCCGAATTTTAATACGCAATGATACCCATTAGGCTACCGCGGCCGCCATTTGGATACGAAAAGAAAAAATTAAACCATTAAATTTTATGCAAAAATAATGGATGTCCTTTTACGACACCTTATATATTACATACGTTCCACATATTAAGTTAGTTAGTAATGTCTGTCCAAGCTGCAATTTTTATGTGTTTCAAACGATAAATAGAAATTTTGCATATACATCGAAAACAGTTCCACTTTCGGGAAAAAAGTGTTACCCAAATCAATTCAGGCCAAAAGTTACCAAATTCCATGAAAATCAAACGATTTAAAAAAAAAAAATAGTTTTAATTAATCGCAGGTCCACTTTCCGAAAACTCCTCAAATTTCAGGTTCGAACGATCATTGGTTTAGGTTGTGGGTTGATCCGTCAGTCATTCAGGACAAAGCCTTTTTTTACTCCATTTTTATATAATTTCATTGTAGAAAGAAAAATTTTAGCTACTTAAAAGCACACTTATTTTATTTATGTATTTTTATTTTATAAAATAGTTAAGTATTGTAGTTAATAGAAGTACCTCCGTATACCTTGTGCTGGTTTTCCACATTTACTTCTAACTTTTTTTATGTAAAAATGACCAGATTTTGATGAAACATTTCCTATAATTTTGATCAGAAAGAACATTTCTTATAATTTCATTTGAGAAAATCCATTTTTAGGCCGATACAACGGATAAGCTAGAACCAGACTTAAGTGAAGGGGCATTCTAAAAAATTACTATTTTCTTCTACTATAAAAGCCTACGCCACACTTCCAGTAAGATTGCCGATTTCGCCTTTCGCCGATTTCTAGTTTGACGGAGCAATCAATTAGAGTTCACCATGAATTATATATTAAACTACCAAGGTAATAGTAGAATTTTTTTTAATTGGAACTATTTTCAAGCAATATTGTCTAAAATCTCTTTTTAACTATGTAGATTAATGCATAACCAAATGCTTGAACACTTCTTGGGAAATTTTCAACAATATCCTGGAATGATCTATTTATGCAGCTATATGCATTTACACCAAGCAATTAATATAATTTTTGAATTTTTGTCATCTGCATTTTGATAGCTTCAGACACAAATTCCTCTCTCTACCTGGTCACAGATGAATTTTTCTCAACATTTTTCAAGTTTAATCAAAAATATTTCCCCCTCAGAATCTGTAATAAAATTTTCAAACAGATCACAACTCTCTTCAATTCAAAATTCATATCATTTGAAATCTCTCGCAAATATTTAATTTATGTCATCAATATTTAAAATTCTTTTTAAATATGTTCGCATTAAACATTTCTCTCTCTCTCTCTTCTCTCTTCCATTTGATACTTACATTATATCTCTACTTATCTAAGCAATTTAATATGATTTAAAATCTTAAAAAGGTATTATCCAGTGCAGCAACGTAACGATAAATTTCACGTTAATCAAAAAATTTATATTGTTTCAGTTGATATATTTTGAAATGTTAACATTAAAGCAGTTATATAAATTTGGTTTGGTTTCGCTTTTACCCGAAATGTTTCAATGTTAATGATTTTATTTCGTTTTGATAACACGGCGCCGAAACGAAACGATTTCAATTCGTTGAATTATGTTTTCTTGTTAGCGAAACGGAATGATATTGTTGCGTTTTTTGATCATTTCTTATCATTATCCCCATTAATTTAATGGTATTAAGATTTACCAAAAGCTGAGAATCCTCCTTAAAAATGTTTCAACCATTAAGCTTTCTATTCATTCAAATCAGAATTTTTGAACTGATGCAAACGCTGCTCAAAAATATTTTCTAATTAGGACTTCTCTAATAATTCTTGATATATATTCGGTGATATTTCAATTATTGTATCACTTTTTTCATTTCAATTTCAAGAATTGTCGGTTTAAATCATTCTTCATGCTACCCTAACTCATAGCCACGCTTTCGAAAGTAGTTTTCCTTTCATTATATATAAGTAAATATATCAATTTAGAGTTAGAGGACGTTACCGTTGGAACCGTTGGTAGCATCAGGTGGTGAGTGACCTGGTTTTACTTTATATTTCCAACTGGTGCCAAACAGGGAAGGTAAGAACCGTGTGGCGCGAATAAGCGATGTCCACGCCAATGAGGTAGAAGAAGTTCAAAAGTTGAATAGATGTAATATTCATCCGTAAAGACTGTAAATATCTGAGTTTTTCCAAAACTGAGGCAAAAGTATCCACATTTTTAATAGTCAGAGCATTGCATAACGAGAATTTTAATTTTTTGAACAAAATATTTAATCATTCATCTACATTGTTGTTGCTGCCTTCAAAATAGTCCCCACTAGAAACTACATACTTGTTTGAGCGCCTGTACCAATCCCTTAAGCACTTTTCAATGTATTTGAAACAAGTGAAGCAGTCACGGGTTTCATACCATAAACATTGAAAACCTGTTAAGACATGATCCAATCAATATGCCAACATTATCACATTTTAGGTGGTGGTGGCAGGATTGACGTTGTTTTGCGACTATCACGTTACGATTCCACGGCTGAGAGCACCATTGAGCGGAGAAAATTGACAGTCGCATGTAGAACCCCCAAGTCCGCCTGAAAAACACTGCAGTATTCCGGTAGATGGAAGTATTTGCAGATACCACGATCGTATGACTGAACTTCATTACCACCTTGAAATCTGTCGAGAAAACAGTGACTGATGTGTATTAAACCGTTTTTTCAGGTAGACTGAATTTTCTTAAGATTTTAGTATGTCTGTGGTCTATTACTATCAAGTCAGATATATTTTGTAATTTTACCGCGGCGCAAGCAGCATTGTGCAGCCCCATAATGTCAATAGAGAGAAGATCTAAGGGGACCATCATAGCCTCAGTTGGTGTGGAACGAAGTGTTCCTCTTATACACAGGAGGGCTGTCCTCTGCACTCTATCAAATTTTAAGATAATTGATTTTTTCTTGTGTGCTGGCCACTAGACTTCAACTCCTTAGAGAAGTATAGGCCTTAAAACTGCAATATAAAGCCAAAGCGCCATTCCCGGCCTTACGCATCATTTCTTCTGAGTCCATTTACTATCCACCATAAGCCGCTCTGCATGATATCACAAACAATTATGCCATGAGGTTGCAGCCCCACCTCCTTCTACATGTATATCAGCAGTCCATAGAAGAGGCGGGAGGGCCCCCCCCCCCTTGTGCGATTCTTCAACTGTCATATCTAAGTGTCGATGCCCCCGCGATTTCAGATCTTACTTCTTTGCATCCGAGCAATCGATGCCCAGGCAAATCAAGGCAGAAGTAAGGGTATATATTATTGAATACATTCTCAATATGCAGAAAAGTCAATAGGCTGTATTTTTCAAACGACATAGAATTTGGAATATCATCGAGTGCAACGCTGTCTTCATTAACCTGTTCTTCATAGAGACGTGTTGGCTTTTCGAGAAATTCTACTTCACAGTAGACCTAACGTCATTCTCCATCAATCGTTACGCTACCTTAAGCGGGAAAAATGTCACACTTATTGGTCTGAAATCCTTAGGTTTACTATGAGGCACCTTTCATACTTGGAAATAAAAGAAATTTTCGATTCCATTCAGATTTTAGGTGTGTATGCAGTTTCAACTGAAGAATTCTTTCAGTGTAGCATGGAGCTAGCTGATATCCAAACACTGCTGGACTTTATGTGGTTTAAACGTACTAATCACCCACTATATCATGCTTTTTGGCAATAGATCTTTCAGTTGGTTGGTTTCCAGTTGGTTCCGATGCTCTACTTGTTTATGCATCTGGAGATTGGGTATTTATAAGAAGCTCAAGGGCTTTCTTCCGTAGACACTGCCTATGTTCCGTGAATGTTTTCTTATAATTAACTAATTACAATTTATTTATATTTCCAGCTATTTCCGGAATATCAACTGGACCAACAATTTGTAGTGGAACAGCTGCATGTAGCATTTGGCATAGACGCAATCAGCAGTACTCAGCCTTTGACTAGTACGGATGAAGAAATACAGTCGCCATCCGAGATAGATTATAAGTTTAGTACCATCACTTATAAGAAGGGTGCAACCATTGTGCGTATGATAGCAAACCTAATGGGTCACGACAACTTTGAGAACGCCATTCGAGCTTACTTGAAGGCATTGTAAGCCAAGTCTTATTTTATTTTATTTTCTAAACATTTTTATTTGGATGCTTTCCATCCGCGATATTCGCGTTAGTCATTTATGTGTTTATCTTTCCATAGCCATTTGAAGAGCACCACGCCAAAAGATTTATTTACGTACTTGAAACGCCACTGGCCAACCACGCCTGAGGTTGATTTGGATCAATTCTTCTACGACTGGACTGAGCAGATCGGGTTCCCGGTGCTTTATGTTAGTGTCGGCTCCAAGGGCAAAGTTAAGCTCACCCAGAAGCGTTTCTTGCTTGATTCAGGCGATGGCAGTAATCATGCGCTCACCTATACAATACCAATTACCTATGCGACAGATGCGGAACCAGATTTCAACAATCTTACAGCACGTTTTTATTTTCTAAAAACCAACGAGATGAGTTTCAAAGTCCCGCCAACCTTTAAGTGGATCATTTTCAATGTACAGCAATCAAATTATTATCGCGTCTTCTACGACAAAACCACATTACAACGCATTAAGGCAGCACTTCTACGGCCAGATCATAGCGGCATACCAACCATAAATCGTGCCCAAGTAGTCGACGATTTATTTAATTTTGCACGAGTCGGCATGCTGAACTACACAACAGTATTCAATGTTCTGGAATATTTAAAAACTGAAATTGAGTACTTACCGTGGTATGCTGCCTTCACGAATTTGAATTTTGTGGCACAACATTTCACATTGCAGCAACAAAGTGGACTTATGAGATTTCTAAACACCACGTTGGCCAAGGTGTATGCACATTTGGCATTTACAGACCGCAATATCGGTGTGCTCGATATTTACAATCGTAATAAAGTTATCAGTTGGGCATGTAGATATAAATTGTTCGAATGTGATAATCAAGCGCGTGATCTCTTTGACAAATTGGAAATGGATGGCGAAAAACCGTCACCCGATTTTCGTGAAACTCTCTATTGTAGTGTGACAAGAGAAGGCGATTTTGCCTATTACCAAACCTTGAATAATTGGTTCGACGACGAAAAGGTAGAAAGTGAGAAAAAGAAGCTTATACGTGCTATGGGCTGTACTCGAATATTTCTACGATATCACTTTGACAATATCGTAAGTGGAAATATACCAACCGAATATGCCTTAATGGGCATAACACCAATGTATGCAGAAAATCCTGAAAATGTTCAAAGGGTTTTCCTTATGATCACCGCTTCCATCGAGGCACTAGTTGAGAGGTAAAATTTAGATTAAAATTATTCGAAAAATAATTTGGATATTTAAAAAGTTCCCGCCCGCGCACAAAACTACATTTGCTTTATTGAAAATTAGCTGTATTAGAACATATTGACCATTATTTTCAATGACTTTCTGCCAATCTATCAACCTATGAAGTTTTCGCGCAAATAACTTGATTTGTCGAACCGTCATGGCGAAAAATATTGACACAATCGATTTAGTGTTGCCCTCAATAATTGTATCTTCTGCGCGGAGACTTTTTTACTTATACAGGGTTTTTCTATAAGAGATGTTATTTCATTTTCCAAGAAAAGTGGCATTTATTGAGATAAATGATCTGGTCAGTGCAAATTTGAAGACACGTCTTTAATACTCAACTATATACCACCCAAATGGCCGCCACAGCTACCCTAACAGGATCCTTTTTATGAAATTTTCCATCACCAAAACGCAAAAAGGCTGTTGTTTGCCTTGTGTTGTGCTTGTGTGACTGGTCGTATAGAAAGTAAACGTTGTCCAGAACAGTACTATACAATTCCAAACTAAATAAATTATTAATCATCTCTCGATAGTGCAGTTGCTCCAACCTCATCTTCGAAAAAATAAGATACAAAGACCCCGCAGGATCATAAGCCGCACCAAACTTTTACAAATTTGAAGATGGAGAGACTTTCACCACAATAAATCTTGGAGTTTTCGAGTTCCAGATGCGACAGTTTTTCTTATTGACGTAGCCATCGAGATGGAAATGGGACTCATCAGTCAAGATATTTTTCGTTGGAATTCTGGATCATTCTCATCCATTTCAAGTATCTAATCAGTAAAAACGCGATTTAGTTGGTAATCGGACGGATTAAGTTCTTGTGTTACCTGAACTTTATAAGCCGAAATATGGTGTAACGACGTTTCTACAATACCAAATACCAAGGAATGAAGAAGAATAGACAAACCCCGATTTTCTTCAACACTTTGGGCTACAGCAGCAATATTCTTAGTTGTTCTTGAGGGATGTGTACGTGTAATATTCCTCAGATCTTTAACTCATCCCAACAGCACCATTTTTCCACCAGTTGCTGTATTGCGGTTCAGACGGTTACTGTGTTGCGGTCTAGGCGGTTGCTTTACGACAACCGTAAAGGGTTTTAGTTTTACGCTCCGTCTCTGCCGGGTTCATCACCATTTTTGTAGTGATTTTTTTTTTTCATTGCAATGCATTGATGAAGCACGAGCACGCATCGTTCCATTTTTATTGCCGGCGTAGTTTTTACTTGTCAAATGTCAAAAACTTCAAAACTTGAAACTTCAAAAGTAACATCTACCGGAATAGCAGGATATTCAAAATAACATCTCTTATTGGAAAACCCTTTACAATATTTGTACATTTATATTTAACAGCACAATGCTTGATAAATCAATTTTATTCTGTATTCATCAAATATAGAATTGGCGGTTGGGAGAAAGCGGCAAGTTTGATTGGTGATATTGCAAAATATTTTACCACACAAGAACAAAGAAAAATGCTTGAAGATTTCGTAACGGAAAATGGTTCACTTTTTGGTGATTCTATCCCAGTACTTCACCATACCATCTACACCGTGGATTCAAATTTGAAGTGGTCTCGGTCATATTTGTCAAAATTGTTTGTACCCGTGAGCAAGCCGAATGTAGCGACTGTCGGCAGATTAAGCGCTGTGCTACTCATTACTGAAGGTTTTATGTACCGATTTTTGTAATATTTATTAATGACCCGTGTATTCATGTATGTAACAATTGTATTTTATATTTACGAACAAACACAAACGCAATTAAATTTGTGTAAAATAAAACTAAAGAAACTACTAACGAATTTTAAATTTGGCGGGAAGAGGCATTACAATTTTTTATATTAAAACTAAGCCCTTTAGCACTAAGATCTTTGCGAGGTCCAAAATCATCAACATCAAACTATGGGAAGGCCTGCATTTCGCTTTATACACATATAACACCTAGTGTTGAGAAATAGGGTTTATGCCCAGAACTATGGTTATGCGGTCGCCTGGGATAAGCGAAACGACAACATCTAACCTCTTAAAGAAATTACAAAACTCCACACCGATTAGTATAAAGTGTATCTTGGCAAACGAGCCCTCGTATACCATATTCCACATCACCCTTCTACCAGACTTAGTGTAGCATCTAATAATTTAATACTTGAAATCCTTTTATACAACATAATTCACAATGCCGTACAAAAGTTGATTGTGCTCTTCAACAACAAACAGTGGGCGACGAGGCGAATATCTCACCTGGGAACTCCGGGGATACGTAAATAAGTAAAATTGTCGCATTTGGGGCTCCTAGAATCTAATAATAACTGAAGAGAGGCCATTAACCAAAAAAAACTTACGGTTTGGTTCGCTCTTTGGTCGTGAGGTGTGATGTAACTTTACTCCTTTGAAAATTTCAACGTCGAGACAGTCACTGTCAATTCAGTTCGTTATGGGCGTATGATAACCGACATTGTGCAGCAAATAAAGAACAAGAATTGGACAATATATGGCTTCAACAAGATGGTTCCATACGCCATACAAGCGAAAGAACTTCCGGCCGTGTAATCTCTCATCTTAGCGATGCCACTTGGCCACCGATATCGTGCAATTCGGCACTGTTGAACTTTTCTTCGATTCACCTCATCCTAAATCAAATAATTGAATTGAAAATACCAAATCAACCGGAGCATATAATTTGTCTCAAGTTTATATTTAGTTTAAAGCAAAAAATATCAGGCAATATCAACTGCATATCACCAGATATTAGAATCCTGTCAACATCGATTTTTGTAGAAACATTTTTTTTATAATTACGGTCACCGCTCTGCATGGAGTGTTACATACATATTTCTGGCATATAAGGATAGCTTCTCATAGAAAGGCCATTCAGAGGGAATCAGAAAAAGCTGTCGGTGTTCTATTGTACTTGTCGCAAAATCATCAAGACACACAACAGCCATGGGAGAAGAGGCTCGGTTTTTTATGAACTAATAATGGCAAATGCCAAGTGCCTAGAGGATATGCAATATACATATGTATATAAGGCTAAAGAAATTATACCCCAAACCATCATTAAAAATCACTCCATACAAAGGCGAAACCCGCAGGAAACCCCGTGAAATAGTCTTTGAGTTTATCGTGAAAAGTGGAAAAGACCCAGCGGAGGAATTTATTTAATTTTTTATATTTGGTCTACTAAAAATTAATCCTTATTTTTGCATCAAATTGAAGGTTTTATTCACTTTATATCTAATATACATATGACAATTCCGCCTGTCTCATAGAAACCCTTATCCCTCTTGGCAAAAAATCCATACGCTTCTCTCGAGGACAGTTCTTACCCAGCTCATCATTGGTGCAAAGTCCGGAACTCAAGTTAAGATATCAACCAAGCTCTCGGCGCTCGTGGCGAGTCACTATCGATGTGTGTAGTCCTCAAGAAAAACAATTTACCTCCTGTTTTCCAAAGCTGGGCATTTCTGGACGATTGTTTCCATCAGACGGTCCAATTTCTAACAGCACAGGTACGAGTTAAGAGTTTGGAGAGCAGTTTATAGTGATTCCTTGCCAATTTCACGAACCAAACAATACGACCTTTGTGGCTGTCAATACGCGCTTGAAGACCGTTTGCGATTGCTCAGTGCACATCGACTACTACAGTTTTCGTATGACGTTGCTGTAAGTGATAATCTTTTCATCACCACCCACCATTCGCTTCAGATATGGGTCGAATTTGTTATGATTTAGCAGCGAATCGCAGATGAAAATACGATCCATGGGGTTCCTCTCGTTATCTCATGTGATACTCAAAAATTGTTTTGAGAAATGTTAAGCTACTGGGCAATCCAAATAGTGTTCACACGACGATAAGACTTGAGGATTTCTATTTTTTTATTGACATTTTCGACAATGGCCTTCCACACCGTGGAGCATCTAATACATTAAAATTGTCGAAACGAAATTGTGCATGATTTGACGGTTACAGTATCAGGATCAGAAACTCTATCCTCACTGCCTGACTTTCGTGTTTGCCTTTTTCTAAGAAAATTTGCTGGAGTCCATCTTTAAAATTTGCTCAAACACTACTGGGCTATGTGATAAAAACTTCTCCATTTATTTTGTTTAGTAAAAATATTATCTTTTCTAACACAATCTAGCGTAATCTAATCGCATTTCATAGATCACGAAAGTCATCTATTGCAAAAATAATGTATTACTTTATACTAAGCATAATATGATACGATCTCGAGATCAATAATATCATATGGAAAATAAGTGTCCATTCGACATACATACATAGTTGAAAAACAGTTGTCATGGATACTAAGATCAGCCTACTCGTATATATGAATGATAAAAACTCCCAAGAAGAACTTCTTTACTTGTGTAAGTGTGTAAGTGTGTAAAAATTTAATTTATTCATCGAATTCTCAAATATAAATTCAAAACAATTAGCTTAATGTTTAGTGGTGGTAGTCTTAGCGTGCACTACACCTTTCTCATCAATATAGCCGCTGGTTGAAACTGTTTTGCTAACAGTTCCTGATGATGAGTCATCGCCGAATCGGCTAGCAAAGCTGTCAAGAATGGAAAAAAATTTAAATTTTAAACATACATCCATATATATGTATATATAGGAAAAAATTGCTACGTACTTGACACCAGAAGCTGGGTGAGACACAGATTGTTCAGTCTTGAAATACACTGGACCTCCATTGGAAGATACCGATGAAACGGATGAGGCTGATGAGCCTCCAAATCTATTAGCGAATTGTACCGGTGTGTTACTGACACTTGCATGTCCACTATTTGCGCTAACACCGTGACCAACATTATTGTTGCCATAGTAATGGCCGTCATCATAGTCGTTACCATAACCGTTACCATAACCGCTTCCATAACCACTACCTACACCGATAGAAGTTCCAACAACGGGTGAACCGCCTACACTTACACCCGATGAGCTGTGGGCCGAGGTGGAGCTTGAAGAGCCATCATCTCCAAAGCGGCTAGCAAAGCTGTTATGTGAAATAATTTGTATATGCAATAACAATATCAAAGCGAAAATAATTATTGTAAAAAAAAAATATTGAGCAACCATACCTTACTGTGCCAGCTGGTGAATGTGATACTGTATTTTGAGTGCTAAAATACACCGGACCACCGTTACTGGACGAGGACGATGAAGACGACGATGATGATGAACTGTAAACTTGTCGACGCAAGCGGCGTAGATATTGAGCAGTCTGCGAATAAGAATAGAGATATGTTATAGATCAAAAAAAAAATAAGGAAGAGCTGTCTTCGGTCACGCCTTGCTATACCAACGTACCAATTTAAGACCAAAAATCTCAAAATCCGATAAAACGGTCGTGTTCTCCGACCTTGTTCTAACAAATGGTCATAAAAATGTACCTGGGTAAATGTGGACCAAGAAACAAACCCGGCTCGTCATTCTGCCCCGATCGGTATAAACTTGAATGCGTCTATCTTTTCTCCTTCTGGTACTTACGTACCGAATTTCAAGTAAATCGAACCGCAACATAACTTTTTTTTGGGCGTAATGGCCTGTCTTCAACTACTTGAGGATTCTTGGAACTCAATAGGGACAATTGGGCCTATTTACGTATCCCCCGAGTAGGAAATATGCCTCGTCGCTGAGGAAAATTTTGGTCAAAAAATGGACGGTCACTACACCCAACCGACATCTGTACAACATTAAGAGTGTTCAGCTGGCTTTAGTTGTTGTGTGAGCTTGACTTAAAATGAATTTAGGTGTGAGTTTAAGTGCAAAGTACGCCAAAGTATGCCGTAAGAAAGTCCTAGCCCTTCAAAATATCGAGAAACAGACATATTCGAGTCTTCGTTTACATTTCCACGAACAAAACGATGATGCACAGGCCTTATAGTATCTGTAACCGATCCACTCTGTCAAAATTCTATCAAATTTTACCGATTGCTAGAGTAGTTCGACGATTATGGGCACCAAAACGTCCTCTTAAAGCACGAAATGTCATCACGTGTGAATAACCATTTTTGTAGTAGCTTTTAACAATATTAAGGCGTTTTGCGTTTGTTAAGCGATCCATATTCAGAGTGCCTAACTTTTCACTTAAACAAAACATGTTTGAGTTGTACTTTTGAAACCACGAATCGGGCAACCATATTCATATATAAATGGTCTCATCCAAACAATTTTTCAGTTGTTTAATTCTTATTTAATCCTTAATTTATATACCATAAATTAGAATTGGTCATAAGAGGTAAGAAGACTTGGGCATAGCCGAAGACAACTCACGTTTCTTGTCAAATCATACGAAAAAACAAGAATTAAAAATATTTTCAAGAAAATATAATTTCCCAGTTGTAACTTAAGGATAACGCGAACAAAATTCCCCACCCTAGAGGAATCTGATGTACTCCAACCTGACTCGAGCTTAATTTAAATAAGAAATTAATTTAAATAAAAATTAATTTAAATTGTCCAATTGCGATCGCCTCTCGGTAGGGAACGTTCTCCCCTGCGAGTGTATTTCTGACATGAAATAAAGGCTCCTCGTAAAAAACCATCAGCCGTTCGGATGCAGCTTAGTATAAATTGTTTAAAAAGCATCAAAACGCAAAACCACAAATTGGAGGAGGAGCTCGGCCGAAAAATCGCTTTAGCGGTTACAAAGCACAAATTATATATATACCCATATATACAAAGTGACTTATTTATACTCACATGTGGGCTCACAGGATGAGGTTGTGTTTTATGGCCTTCTGCATCGAGTGTGTAGAAAGCTTTTGGAATAAAGAAACCAGCATCTAAAAAATAAATAATTAAAAATTTGTAAAAATTGAATGACACAATAAAAGAAAATATTTATAAATTTATTAGACATATAATGTAGTGAAATTATACAATAACAATTATTATAAAATGTAATTTGTATGACGCAAACTTTTTTCAATTTTATTTTGTGAGTTTTATACGCATTTGCATATATGTATATACTCATATACTTATTTAATAATATTTTGGGTACTTTTTTATAACTTGCTAAGACCACTACCGGCTAAACGGCTTTCTCAGTTTAAAAACAAACGCCACAATTGATTCAAATTTACACGCGCGTATATATTGCTATGTAATTATGTGTATGTGTACATGTAGGTATATATTTACCTTTATTTTGTTAAGCTGATTTAGCTTGATTGCAAACTTTTGATAATATATTTTTATTTTCTGTTTTTATTTCGGTTTCTTAATTAATTCTATTTTATTTTAGCCACAAAAAACGTTGAGTTTTTTTTTTTTTTTGAAATAAAAATCACGACAAACAGAAAAATATACCTCACTTTGCTTTACTGAAATGAGCACTTTGAACGCTTTAGTGGCGAAAGTAGCCCATCGCCAAGACGATCTTAAACATTTTTCTATCTTTCTTTTGTGAACTTTCTAAGCTCTTTAGGTATGGTTTTGCTTTTTTGTTTTTACTTTTGTAAATAAATATATGTTTAGATATGCAATATTTCTTTTATTTCTAATTTTGTAGAAACTCCCATTCTGTTGCCTTAAGCATTTGTTGTATTACATATATATTTAATGAGTAACGATGTGTACATTTATATCTACTTATATATATTTTCAACCGCAACACTCTACAAACATTCATACGGAGTTAAATTAGTTTCAACCCTAAAACTGATGATTTTCTTGAATAAATGCGAAATTTCATGGAAAAGTAGTAACTACGAGTATGTATGTATGTATATTACTACTTTTGCATAATTTTTATCCAACGACTTAACACGATTCCATTCATTGTATTGATTTGGAATTTTGTTTTTATTTTTTTATAGTTTTAAGAATTTATAATTGCTAATAGTTACTAGTAAATTCCACTATGCTTTATAGTGCAATAATTAAAGGGAAATTTCTGGTTTATCTGGAAAGCAAAACTGAGTGAGTATAGCATGTAAATATATATATGTACTCGTATGTACATATTGTATATGTTAGGGCGTTACTAGGTTCAATGAAAAGAAAAATGTCTACTGAAGCTTGGCTCTACAGTACATTTAATCTTACTGCCTTTTTGAAAAGCACAATTTTAATTTAACGGGAATTTTCCAATAAGAGGTGTTATTTTGATATTCGAAGAAAAATGGTATTTTTCGAGACAAATGATCGCTAGTTTAATTCAATTAAAAGAGGAAGTTATGTCATTAATAAGGGAAAACAATACCAGCCAAATAGCCGCTACGGCTAAGCTTTTTAAGAAAGTTTTCATCACCAAGTCGTAAAGTCGCTTCCGTATGCCCTCAACAGCTCAACGAAGTTCATGTTTTTGAGGTCTTGAATCGACGTTGACCTGTTGGCGTAAACCTTATGTTTCACGTGGCCTCAAAAGAAGAAGACACAAGATGTGAAATTACAAAATTTAAATGGCTAATTGCGATCATCTCTTCGGGAGATAACACGATCCGGTAACTTTTCCCTTAAAAGATCGATGGTTTCGTTGCTTGTACCACATAAGTAGCGCCGTTTGGTGGGAACTAAACATTGTCCAGACCAATATCATACAATTCTGAACTTAAAAAATCATTAATCATCTCCCGTTAGCGTAATAGCAAAAAAAAACAAGGTCCAATGACCCTGCCGCACCATAACTCGCATTAAACAATTACACATTGAGGAGGTTCAGAGTCTTTTCAACAATAAATCTTGGGTTTACCGGGTGCCAGATGCGACAGTTTTGCTTATTGACGTAGCCATCGTGGTATAAAGAGGCTTCATTAGTGGATTTTAATAACTTCCATGCCTTGTTGAAGCATGCATCGTTCCATTTTTAATATTGAGGAAAACTATTGTTTCAAATGTCAAAAGATTATTCAAAACAGCAGCTGTTATTGGAAAACCCTTTACAAACGAAACAAACTACAATAAATTATATATAAACGTATATATGCATATATTGTTTAACAAAGAATGTAATAAGATAAAAATTTAATAAACAAGAATTCAGTATGGATGTCATATAGAACATTATAAGAAATAACTTGAAGACAAAGCCCTCAATGAGAAATTTTTCACATTTTTTCTGCCTCCTCTATTCCAGTGGTTATCCAGAGATCGCAGTGGATTGCGGAATTTTTTACATACCCTGCAAATCGCTCTCAAGGTTTCAAACTGTATCCTTCTAAATTCAATTTTAGATTAAGATGCTGAGCTCTAAATCCCTTACGTCCCACTGATGGTTTTTCAAAATTTTTTAAAAATATTACTTTGTTTTATAAGCTTAGTTTAGTTTGGGCTTAGGGCTTACAAACTAATGCAAGTTCGCAATTTTCAATTTAGCTTGCGCAATCTTTTTATCCATGTATTTTCCGGGTGAGTCTTTTAGCCAATATATCTGCCAATTAAGCAATGGATTCTCTCTATGGTATCATATTACCATCCACTGAGATCGAGGGTAAATTTCTTTCTTTGCAGTAAATGTTACCACACTTAGACTCATTGACTTTAATTCTCCAGGTAGTTACCCATTCTTGTATCATTTTTAAATGTTGTTGTAATCTATACTTAAGTACCCGCAGTGTGGTTCAAATGTACACAAAGTATTGTGATATCATCCGCAAACAAGGTTTCGGTTTGTGGGAAGATCTTTTGTATAATTTAAATATTAGACGCGCCCTAAAATACTTCCTTATGGATTACCAGAATATATTTCACTGGTTTCAGTAGGGTAACTTTTTTGCCTAACTCGTATTTTCGGCCAATAAGGAAGATCTAAATATTTACGGGAAGCATACCTTTCAGCTTATATAACGGTCCATCTGGATAAACTTTTTCAAACGCCTGAGCAGCATCAAGGAACAGCGCAGTGCAATATTGCTTGTTTTCAAAAACGTTGAACTGATGTGTGTTACCATTCTAAGCACCTGCTCTATTGTGCTAAGACTTTTTCTTAAGTCGAATTGTTGGCATGCTGGGGTCTGTTTCGATTCTAAAATAAATTTTTCATCTAGATCTTCATCAAATTTTGGAACACAATTGGATCCAAGATTAGGCGTAAATAAATAGGAAAGGTTCGTGGCAAATTGAATAGCTTTTTCTGTGGAGAGTATAGACGCAAGTGATCGAACTTTTACAACATTTAACAGCCGGCCACAAAGAATAGTTAATATCAGTCACTGATAGGGAAAATAAATAACATTTTAAAGTTATTTTTCCTTGTTTGATCTAATTTTTTAAGGCTGAGGAACGAAACCTCTGGCAATCTCTCCTGAATTGCCTTTTCTTGATTACCAAACTAATAATATCTCTACGCTGGAAACCATTGAAAATGTGTCTCTTATGGGTGTTAGACGGACGTAGACTATACCTTTAGAACTCCCCTCGCAGAGAGCATAATCATTTTTAGTGAATATTAGCTTTGGATATCGATTGCATTGACACAGTTCATTTTGTCTTTGATCGTTTTTGGGCTAAGATTTGAAAAAGAATCCCACATAAATGTTAATGAGAATGTAATATCTCAGTAAGGATCACAAACATCTAGTTTGTTCACGTAACCAATGCTAAGGTTGAACTGGTTGTGCCGAGCTCGCTACTATCTCTCCCTCGCCTTTTAGCCCCAGCGCAAGCAAACCAAAAATAACACTTGCGTTCAGTGTGGAATCCTCATTATCAACTTCTTCAGAACTAGAACCGCGTTTTGCTCTTTTAGAAATAAAAAAAAACAGTTTGGAACCACTTCAAAAGGGCTGGAGATGCAAAGAAGCTCGCTGTATGAGTGCCACAAGAGTTAACGAGAATTCGGTTTTCGACCGAATTTCCATCTACGAATCTCTACTGCAACGGTCGTACAAATGGTCGTGGTTGAATGGTTATAAGCCGACACAAACAGTCTCTACACCAGCAAGGTTTTGTTGTGTGTTTGGAGCGATTTTCAAGGAATTTTCTCCTATCACTATAGCAAAACTCTTAATTTGGATCTTTACTGTCGGCAATTTGACCGCCTGAAGGAAGCAATCTCCCTGAAGCGCCCAGCTTTAGCCTACAGGAGGGAAATTCGGTTTCAACTGCACAATGCCAGACTACACACATCGATAGTGACTCGACAGACGCTCCCAGAGCTTGATTGAGAGTCTCTTATGCATCCATTTTATAGCTCTCTTTTTAAGTCCGCCCACTAAATGCTTACCATCTGTTCATGTCTATGGCGAATGATTGCGCAGGTAAGCAATTGGGCTCAAGAGAATGTTTGTCAACAGTGACAAGGAAAATGGAAGAAATTTAAGGAGCAAAACAGTGCACGAAGCCTTCAATTTAATACAAATAAAACTAATTATTTTTTACTAAGCCTAGTACATGCTCTTAGAAGGTGTTCAACTGAGGACTGCACGAATATTATACACATTTCATAATTTAATGAGTAAATAATTATTTCCATATCGTCATATTTTTGCTTTGAAAACATCTTTAGCTAAAAATAAAATATTGACTTCCTCTAATTGTATATATTTTATTGGAAAACGTGATTGAATTGAAGAATTCTTTCGTGTTTCGAAGATTATCACATATTACTGCTTCCATCAAGTATTATTATATTATGTCATAACATTAAAGTAATAAGTATATGTTAAAAAAGATCTTCACAGAAAAGAATAAAAAGTGTTTAATAAACAATTAATAATAAGCAACAAAAACAATGGATGTGTAATTTTTAAATTTTTTTATTTGCCTTTGTTTTTATTTCTAATTTTGTTGTTGCTTCAGCGCAATTTTCATAGAAATTTTTAATTATAAACGTGTTCACTGCCAGCCTAAACAAGTTTCATTAAAATCCCGCGAAACAGTGAGTAATCAATAATTAATAAATATTAATTAATTTAACGCTTTGCTGTTTTTTTTTTGTTTTTTTTTTTTAGTAATTCGTGAATACTTTGCAGCAGGTTTGATGAGTGGAAAGAATTTGGTAGCACAGGAAAAATAAACTATTGGTGATGTAAAGTTAATATATATTTTATACTTTATGTCGAGAGTAACACTCAACATAACGGTAATTACAGCTTAAGTGCTCTTTACAAGAATTCGACGGTATTTTCAGAACTTTCCACTTACTTTTTATTACATTTTTAACACATTAAACTAAAAGGTAGGTAGGTAGGCACAAAACTCACACACACATATTACGCAAATAACTTAAAATATATACTTATGTAAATATAAATAACAATGTACTTATATACGTACATAAATATGTGTGTGTGTACATATACTTAGCACTAACTCTTAACTCTTGTTGATGAAGATGTATTTTTATTACTCACCACCTTCAGCTGATGCGGTGGCAAATACTGCCGCCACCACCACGACAATTGCGTATCCAACAAAATATTTCATATTTTCGGGTTTTCCCAAACGTGAAGTATGTAAACAAAAAAAAAAATCTATAAAAAAAATACAAAAACTTCATTAGCTTAACAATGGCAATGATATTTTTCTTTCTCTTATATATATATTAATTTATTTTCAGCAAAAAAAAATAAAAATAAAAAATAAAAAATAAAATTAGCGCCCACTAAGCACTCAAACGAATACCGTCAATATCTGTTGAACGAAAGATTTAAGATACGAACTTGCTAATTATCACAGCACATAAATGTGATGGCAAAAACGACAGAGCAACGACTAAACTGCCAAAACAGTGACCGAAGTGATTTTATACATGATGATCCAGCGCTCGAGTGACTAGATTTCGCATCGGCACGTTTGAGTTGAGATATTTTGTACGCCAAGTCTTGAGTTAAAATCACTCAATATGAATATCTGACTTTTTTGCCAATACAAAGATCTTTGGTGGAACAAATAGAAATCACTTACACAAACATATGCTTTCAAGCGATGAGCTGACGAGCGTTACTCGTTCTTATATCTGCTTAGATAGATACACCCGTTCACATATATACTAGTACTTGTGTACATACATATATACATGCCGCGTAGTTTGAACGGAGAAATGAAGTACAAAACATTCTACGAGTGGAAGTTTTTGTGTGGAAAGCAAGTAAATATAAAAAAAAATTTAATATTTTTTATCAGAATTTTTTTATTTGAATCTCTCCTGTTTGATTTCTTCATTAATTAATATACCGCGATTAATATTTTTCGATTATCTACATATCTTTGGTTAGTTGTGTGTGTTACGTCAAGTCTGTGATGTCAGTTTGTATCTTCATTAATACTTGTATGAGAAAAAATAGATTATATATATGCAGTTTATAGTCGGAATCCCCGAAATTCTGGTTTTATATATGTATGTTAACACCACCCGCTTTAGTAGGCAAAACATTCTTCAATTTTGTTTATTTTGAAAATGTGTACATTTAAAAAAAAAATAAAAAAGTTTTTAAAATTTATTAAAAATGAACAGTTTTTGAATGATTGATTTATGACCTCACTTATTTCTTGAAAATAATTTCTTCTATATATTGGTATAGTAATAAGTAATCCATTATTTTTGCATTAAATTGAAGACTTTACTTTCCATATTTAGAATCAAACAATTCTTGTGAAATATGCACCGTTTTGCTCGATGACTTTTTGCTATTTTGAAGATAATGTCCCGTCTCTTTTGGAAAAAAAAAACAAGACAACTGAATTCCTCTTTCTTCTCCAGCCAACTCATTCGCCTTAGATTTGAGCAGATAGTAATCACTTGATGGGAGGTCCGGACTATAAGGTGGATGCATAAGTATTTTCCAACTAAGCACTCTGGACTTCTGACGAGTTGCTATCGTTACCTTTCTTAGTGGTGCAAACTGTTTTTTGTGCAATGTTTAACTCCTGGGATATTGAAACAATGCTCTTCTAATGGTCAGACTCAACGAATGCCATTATTTTATGACATTTTCGGCAATTATTCTTCCATACCATGGAGCATATTTTGACATCAAAATTACTGGTACGAAATCGACAAAACAAAAATTGTCTGTGATAGACTCCTACAGTTACGCTACCATAAACTTCTACTGTTGTAGACACCGCCTACACGTTTATATCCCAGAAATCCACCTTTCGCTTTTTGGCGTCAATTTGAAATACCAAGTACATAAAGCTCCTTCTTCAACTGGTCTTTCCAACGGAGTGGGTGTCTCCCGCTGTCTCTACTTCCATCGGCGGATACTGTATTGAAAACTTTCAAAGCTGGAGCATTCTTATCCATATGGACAGCATCACCTCGCCAGCGAAGCCCATATTTCTTGGGTCGCTGAATATCAATGTCAACGTATATCTCCTTTAGCTTATCGTTTCATCGGCTGCGGCAGGACAATAAATCTTATGCAATCCCTTCTCTAATTTCTCTCTCGAACGCGATGACTGTTTGTTTGATAACTGGAGATATTGCGTCTAGCCCTCGTACAACAGGCAGTCTGGAGGAAGCAGCACTCACGGCGCGGTTGTTGAAGCCAATGTTATCGGCGTTCGTGCGTTGGAGAGGACCATTCAGCTCGGCTTACTGCCATGGAATTTCAAAATTTTTTCTAATTGCGGTGGTCACTCGATAGGAAATATGAGCCCTTCCGAATAGACTGTATTTCTGATATTAAATGTAAAGATCTCTTAAAAGCCTTTCATTAAGTAAAGCCTAAGTCTTCGGGTCAACTGTCGGAAAATTAAGCCTCCACAATGAAACATCTCCTTAATGAGTTGAGGGTGATCGACGTTGCAGTAGCCTGAAATATTGTTGGCCGGATCGGAAAACTTACAACCATATCAATCAAGTTGTGACAGACGAACCTCATTTATCCAGTGTTCTAGATGTGCGTACTTTGTGAGATCCTAATATCGACTCGGATCAATATTTTGTCGCGTCTGGGAAGCAAGACGCATTTGCAGACAAAAAATAAAAGAAGCGGAAATGTGTCAGTATAAATAGTTTGAAAAACTGGCCCACAAGGGAAGGTTTCAAGACCAGAACAGACTCTTGTAAGACACAGGGAGATGATCTAGTGACTCATGCCCAGAATTTATGGAAGGAAAACTCTCCAGCCTGCTAAACGGCAGAGAAAATCAAACACCCGGAGATGGTGAACCCGAAATACTAATCGATGACGATGGAACAGACGTTCCGCTACCTGACCATGTCGAAGTTCGATTAGCGATTGCCCGTTTAAAAAACAAGAAAGCTGTAGGGGCTGACGGCCTACATACAAAGCTATTCAAACATGGCGGTGAAGAGCTGACAAGGTCCGTGCATCAGCTTGTTTGCAAAATATGGTCTGATGAAAGCATGCCCGACGACTGGAACCTAAGTGTACTCTGCCCAATCCATAAAAAGAGCGATAGTTTGCGCCAACTACCGTGGGATAAGCCTCCTTAACATCGCTTATAAAGTCCTATCGAGGGTTTTGTGTGAAAGACTGAAACCCATCATCAACAAACTGATTGGAACTTGTCAGTGTGGCTTCAGACCTGGTAGGTCAACCATTGACCAGATATTCATCATGCGCCAAATCTTGGAAAAGGCCCGTGAAAAGTGGATCGCCAACCACAAACTCTTTGTCGAGGAAGGTTTCTTGTAATCTGACGCTAGACAACACCAGAAGCGCAGTCAGAATTGGGAAGGCCCCCTCCGAGCCGTTCGGTACCAAACGAGGATTCAGACAGGGTGACTCTTTGTCATGTGATTTCTTCAATTTGATGCGGGAGATAATATTATGAGCTGCAGAGCTGAATAGAGGTACAATCTTCTATAAGAGTGTGCAACTACTGACATTTGCCGATGATATCGACATTATCGCCCTCAATAACCGCGCCGTTAGTTCTGCTTTCTACAGGCTTGATAAGGAAACGAAGCGAATGAGTATGGTAGTGAACAGGGACCAGACGAAATATCTCTTGTCATCACACAAACAGTCATTGCATTCGCGACTCGGCTCCAACGTCACTGTCGACAGTCATAACTTTGAAGTCGTAGATAATTTCATCTACCTAGAAACCAGCATCAACGACAACAATAATGTCAGCCTTGAAATCCGACGCAGAATCACTTTTGCCAACAGGTGCTACTTTGGACTGAGTAAGCAATTGAAAAGTAAAGTCCTCTAACGATTTATGGTGCTTTGCGTATTGGCAACGGCGAACACCGCAGACGATGGAACGATGAGCTGTACGAGTGATACGTTGGAATTGACATAGTTCAGCGAATGATGAGACAGCGGCCACGCTGGCTAGGTTATTTCATCCGAATGGGGTTTAAAGCACTCCAGCTTTGAAAGTATTCGATGCAATATCCGGCGGTGGAAGCAGAGGAAGAGGAAGACCTCCATTTCGTTGGAAGTATAAGGTGGAGAGTGACCTGACCTTACTTGGTATTTCTAACTGACTCCAAACAGCGCAAAAAAGGGATGAATGGCGCGCTATAATTAATTCGGCTATAATCGCGTAAGCGATGCCAACGCCAATAAAGAAGAAGAAGAAGTCTACAAATTATATACAGCATTACGCGCAGCATCAATCTGGCAATATGCGACGCTTCGCCTGAAAACGTAAAGTGTTCACCCAGTTAAGCAAGACAGCATTCTGATTTGATATTAAAAATACATTACGGGGCTGGCCGTTTGTTTCGATTACTTTTACAATATTGCCTCGGCACTGAAATAATCACTGCCAACGTCATTCAGTTGGACAATAGCAGCTTCGTTTTGTGAAATGATAAAAACAAGTCTTCTTAAAACTGCACACATACATATGTACACATATTCTGAATCAATGTTATGCTAAAAAATACACACACATCCAAATACAATGAATAGCTTTTTATTATAAATATTTATTTTCAATTAAATTTTCATTTCCAATTTTGGCTAAACAGAAAAATTGTATTAAAAATATTTTGCTACAATAAATGGTATTCAATTTCACCTACTGCAATGCAATGCGACGGAAGTGATTATTCAATGGTCCCTCATCTGAATAGCCGGCAATCTCCTGTGGAATGATGCCAGACTCCTCAATGGAGGTGCACGGACGACACATACACTCCAGTGGGGCTTTCGTTAGTACCTTCTTGAATTTACGTTCACCATGTTTGGCTTTTGGACAAAATAGGGAGACAGCAGCTTCGCGTTCACCCGACTCCTGACAGCACATGCATGAACGTTCCATTTGCCAAATTTTACTGCCAGACACCTTGATTAAAAAGTAAGTATACAAATATATATAAAAAATATATTTGAAATTAAACATAAACATTTGATATTATTTTTATACAAATTGTTTAAAATTTTAAAAATCTCAAGCGATAATGTAATAGATTTCCAACCCTTAGTCTTATAAACATAAACACATATAAACCTGCGCTTTTTTAAGTTAAGTTTTAAGTTCTGATACAAATATCCGAATTAACGATCTTAAGATATTCCAGACGCACAAAGACCCACCGAACAAGTATAACAAGAATAAGAATTGTACGAAAACCAGTTTGAAGCTACTTGAAAAAGGCAGAGAAGCTCGATGTATGGGTGCCACATGAGTTAACTAGAAAAAACCTCATGCACCGTAGTTCCATCTGCCAAATCCAAAGCGGTTGGTGTCTGGTGATGAAAACGGTCGTGATCGAAAGGCAGTGAACCAGCGCAAACGGTATCCAAACCAGTATTGACGGTCAGAAAGGATTTGTTTGTTAAGTGTTTGGTGAGATTGACAGAGAATCATACACTGCAAACCGCTCCCCTACATCCAAACTCTTCATTCGGACCTGTACTGTCAGCCATTGGACGGTCTGAAGGAAGTAATCGCCCAAAAGTGTCCAGCTTTGGCCAACCGGAGGGGAACTGTGTGTCATTAGAATAATGCCAAACCTCGCACACCTCAATAGGGACTCATCAGAAGCTCTGAGTGCGTGGTTAGAAGGTTCTTTTACATCCATCTTATAATTCGACCTCGCACCAAATGATTCCATCTGTTTCTGTCTCTGATGAACGATTTGGCTGATGAAGAATTGGAGTAAAGAGAAGCTTGTGAAAATCGATTGTACCAATTTTTTGCCAATACTGACAAGGGTTTCTAGAGAGGGAGAGGCATAATGACATTACGATATCCATACATAACAGAAGATAACATGGAGAAGATAATTTTTTATCTGGTTTTGGTTGCTTGGCTAAATGCAATTTGTGTGGAAAATTTTCATAAAAAAAATAGCTAATCCCGTTTTAGTGGGCAAAAGAAGCTTTGAGTATGTTTTTGTAGAGAACATCGAAGAAAACTCTTTTTAAAACGACATTTTACTAAAAATTATAATTATTTTGAAATTAATTGGAATAAATTTTGCACAGATACTTAATGTTATCGTTAAATTGCTCATAAATATACGAGTATATATGTATATTATTTTGAATGGAGCTATCCCTTAATAATTCATTAAGAATTTGTTATTAGCGGAAATTAAAGTACTTTACTTTAAACCAATTTATTGGACTATAAATCGGGGGAAGCAGTTGAAAATTTTTAGTACAATAACTATTTTAATTTGTTATTTTCTAAACTTGAACTTTCTAGACATTTCCAAATAAAATATTTGACTGCAAATGAGACCCTTTTGAGCTATTCAGTCAGTCTATGAATGATTAAAGCAGAAAATGTATGCTCTTCTTATAAAAATGTATGTATGTATGTGAACGTTTTAGTTTTTACAACCAATTACTCATACATTTTTGAAAAACTGTAAAATATTTTGTTTTTTACTCATTCATATATGATTTTTTCTTCGTTGCTGTTTAAAAGTGAAAAAATGAAAAACAATTTATTCCCACACAACGATACATACATATAAGGTTGTTAAATATCGCCCTTCCGCTTTTTTGCTCTTCATTCAATGCTTTATAAAAAGTGTTACAGTGATCGGATTTAGTTAAAATATGCGCCGTTTTGTTCGATGATCTGTTTCCATCTAGACGGCAACTTCATAATACCTTCCTCGTAGAAGCCCCCCTCCTTATTTGCGAAGAATTCGGACAGCCACTTTTCACAAGCCTCTTTTGAGTTCAACTTCACACCACCAAGGGCATTCGCCATGGACAGGAACAGGTGGTAATCACTTGGCGCTACGTCCGGGCTATATGGTGGATGCGATAAAACCTCCCATCCGAGCTCCCGTAGCTTCTGACGAGTCATCAACGAAGTGTGTGGTCTGGCGTTGTCCTGGTGGAACACTACACCCTTCCTGTTGGCCAATTCTGGACGCTTCTGGTCGATCGCCTGCTTCAAGCGGTCCAGTTGTTCGCAGTAGATGGTAGAATTAAGCGTCTGGCCATATGGGAGCAGCTCATAGTGGATGATTCCCTTCCAATCCCACCAAACACACAGCAAAACCTTCCTGGCCGTCAATCCCGGCTTGGCCACTGTTTGGGACGATTCACCGGCCTTCGACCACGACCGTTTTCGCTTGATATTGTCGTATGTGATCCATTTTTTGTCGCCAGTCACCATCCGCTTCAAGAATTGGTCGAGTTCGTTCCGTTTCAGCATCAAACTCTTTTTTGGGTTAAGCCTTCTGCAGATGGTTCAAAATGGTTTGGTGACTAACTCCCATCTCCTGGGCGATGTCACGAGATGCCATATGCCGGTCTAACTCGATGTATTCCATGATTTGATCGGTATTTGTCGTCACTGGTCTTCCGCCGGCTGGCTTATCCATGGTGTCGTTTTCACCGGCTCTGAATCGTCGAAACCATTCCTCCGCGGTTCGAAGTGACAGAGCACCATCCCCCAAAACACCATTAATCTCACGGAACGTTTCTCTATCGGATTTGCCTTTAACGAAGGAAAACTTTAAAATTTCGGCGTTAGTGAACTCTATGTTTACACGTCTATAACTATTGAACGCAATATCCAAACTAATCATGCATAGCGTTGTTTTGTATGTTATGTCAAGACCTTTCAAATTATGAATAGTGTTGCCAGATACGAGCTTTGTACATAGCCGCGAAATTGACAACCTAATATATGAAAACTCGAAATCCACTTAGACAGACGCTTAACCTGGAGACGACACTTTGCTTTTAAAAAGCTGTAGCTTAAACTCAAATCTGCCAGTTTACATTAGCTTTTAAACGAGAAGTCTGTACTTTGCCTCAGCAGCACAGTCCTCTTATATAATGCAACAATAAAACCGATATGGATGTATGGAATCCTGATTGAAATTTCAGCACAAAAACACTTAATAAAACTGCGTAACCATCCGAACCCTTCTAAGGAGCAACGTCAAGTCAGCAGCCCATTTCCACTAATGGGTTTTATGTTTTAATTTGTTTTCAGATTTTATTACTTATTGTTGGACTTCCGATGTCGAAGCAGATTCAATAAATAAACAATAATGTTTAGAAAAAAAAAATTATTTATTTCGTTTTTAATTTTTTTTTTTTTCATTTCCTTAATCTTTTCATGATGCAAATACGTTAATACGGAAAGAACCAAAGTTTTTATGCAAAGTACAGTGATGAATATTTATTTTGCATATGTATGTAGGTGATTTTTGTTTAATATTTTTCTAAGAGAGGGCTCTGCTAGTATTATTTCGCGTCGTGTTCATCTGTGGCAATATTCATTTAAAAGGTACTGTCATTTCGCGTCGTTCACAATAGATGTCATTTGTTTTAGCGTGAACTACAATTTGTTTCATTCATTTGAAAATGTCGAAATTTGTACCAGATAAAGTGTTTTTGCGGTGAGTTCTTCTTCATTACTTCAACATGAAGTAAAGTGCTACCACTATATTTTACTGAACGTTTATGGTGACCATGCTTTAGCCGAACGAACGTGCCAAAAGTGGTTTGTACGGTTTAAAAGTGGCAATTTCGACTTACAGGCCTATTCTCACTGTTACCGGTAATGTAAATTTTGTTACTTTTCTTTAACATCCGAAATTGAATTTGGTATTCTGGCGAACTGGTTCCAATATTTGAAAAAAATTTGGCAGATCTGTTTTTTTCGTCCATGTCAAATTACATTTGCCAGTTGATAGAGTAAAAAGAAAAATAAACACATCGAAATGGAAGAGGGTGCACAAAAAATTCAAAAATATTTGAACCTAATTATGGAAAATATGCCTGAATAACAAAGAAAGCTGAATGGAAAGGGCTATTTTTTAGTCTCGAAAACGTGTTAAAATACGGTTTTTTGCACTTTTTTCTTCATCTTCAATGAATTCCAGTCCTAAAATATGCCTACCCACTTTGGTTTTTTATATTTTCTCAGATTTACAACACAAAATCAAACAGCAGATATGATTGTTACCTCCTATTTCGCTGGTAACAAAATTTACAGCGTAACAGTGAGCTCAAAATACGAAATGATAACAAAATTTACTGAATGGTAAATTTTAATAACTAGGTAAATTTTGTTACCTCCTTAGAATAGGCCTATTAGGCGACGGAGAACAACCCGGACAGCCAAAAAAATTTCAAGACGGAGAATTGGAGACATTGCCAGACGCAAGAAGAACTTGCAAAAGTATTAGGAGTTGATCAAGCAACCGTTTCCAGACAATTAAAATAATTTTTTCACAATAAAGTCTTAAGCCGCACGAATTAATGCATACACCCAATATATTTTATACTTTTAAAGGAAATGGTGAAAAAACTGAATAATAATTCAAATGAGTAGGAGTTAATAAACTATTCACATTCATTAAACTACAATTCCCAAGACGACATTCCCACTTCAACATCGAATGCTTACAATAAGTGAGATCTTCATGTCCAAATGAAAATGACCTCACAGAATCTACTTTCACAAAACCTGGCAGCGGTCACCTTAACACAAATTAATGAGACTTTCTGAAACCGAGAGATTTACCTTTGGTGCCAATGTATTTGAATATCGCCGTAAATCATTTGGCAGAGATAAGGAAATTATGGAACTCCTAGAGACTATACTAACCGTGCCTGCCACTCAGGCTTGTGTGGCACGTTCATTTAGCGCATTATCTACGATATTAACAAACTTAAGGTCGAGACTTTCAGAAAAATCCCTTTCTAATTTACTCAAAACAAAGCTGATTTATGGTTTTCTTAATTTTTCAAATTTTGATATTGAAGATAGTATTGTATATATATTTCGATTTTGTTTCTACAATTGTATAAATATACATACAAGTATCGAAACTTGTATTTGTATGGTTTATTTTATTGAACGAACTACACTCTTGTAAAAAATTGCTTAAAATAAATTAGGTGCTGAAATATATTATTTTGAATTTTTTTGTAAATTATATTCCGTATGCTCACACATTTCTTATTGCAAACACAACAAGTGGTTTTTTCAAGGTTTATAGGACACAAGGATACGACAAGATGGAAATCATTTGTTTAATAACGAAGTTGGTTCAATTTGTGGGTTGCCTAAAATTTAAAAAGAAGTTTTCATAATTTTTTCTATAAAAAAAAAAAAGCTTAACATTTCCACGCTTTAAAGCTTTGCAATTAAAAACCATTACAATTAAAACGTTCTTAATAATTTATTGACGAACAAATGTATTGTACAATAATTTTCAAAAATTTAGTAAATTAATCAAATCATGTAAATTAATATTCTTTTTTTTAACAAAAATTTCTATAGCTGGCAACTCAAAATTTTGGTATTATGTAATAAGAATGGCATGAGTAAATAATGTCAAAAACGTGAAAAAATATCAAGATTATAGAAAAAACACAGTATATTTAAAATTTTGATCTAGAAACCAATTTTCAAAAATTTTCTTTGTTTAAAAAAATTCGAGGCGGTGAAAAAGTGTGGAGGGGACTTTTGTAGAGTGATTTATGTTAACGTATTCTAAAAAATTAAAACATACATGCGGTATTGTAGCATATTTGTTGTTTCCTATTATATAAATTTAGTAATAGAGTTTTTGGAAAGAAAACTTGAAGTTTTGGCATGAAGAAGACTTGAATTCTATCCGATGAAGCAGTAATATATTATATCTGAAAGAATGAAGTGTTGCTTACATAAAAAATGATAAAGCTCTTATTCAAAAATGGTGCTCTTCGGCCACCTGAGCACTGGTTTAATCAAAACAGCCCACGGTATGCACCGTAGCTTGTTGTTTGCCAATTCGTGTGCCTTATTTATAGTGAAAAATGGCCAAATCTGTGACCGCGCTGTCTTGAGTACGTAAGTGCAGACACAAAAAATGTAAAATTTGTGTTTTCTTCTGTATAAGAAAATTTTTCCCATATACATACATAAATAATATAATAAATAATATAAAATTTTAAAGATAAAAATTATTTCTTTTTATTATATAAATGTCAAGTATCGCCCACTGTTGTCGTAACCTTGTGTTCTATAAACCTTGTGCCGTTTAAGACTCCATGAATAAGTATTTATGAATTATTTTTGTGTATTTCTGTTTAAAAAAAAAATACATCACGTGGAAAAAATTAACGTAAAGCTAAAACATTCCTGCAAGAACGGGCTGATGGGTTCACCAAAACACTCACACGATTTCGAGCAGAACTAGTACATATGCACATTTTTTTGTTTATCTTTCTCTTCTGAGTACATACAAATTGAAGTAGAATGCAGTTCCGTTCTACATTATGTGCTTATTTTCGAGTAGAACGCCATTTTTTATCGTTTTCTCCGCAGCAGATAGAAGTGAAAAATATATGATGAGGGTCCTGTACAAGTTGTGGTAATAATATATTGCCGATTAATTAACTACTTCATTTCTCATAACTCTTTACATTGTTTTTATTTAAGGGTACTCCATGTTGTACAGAAAATTCTGTTAATGAAGCAGGTTAGCAGGCCTATTCTGTGGTGGTAACAAAACTTACCAAGGTATTAAAATTTACCATTCAGTAAATTTTGTTACCATTTCGTATTCTGAGCTCACTGTTACCCTGTAAATTTTGTTACTAGCGAAATAGGAGGTAACAAAAATATCTGCTGTTTGATTTTGTGTTGTTAGCTTGAGAAAAAATAAAAAACCAAAATGGGTAGGCATATTTTAGGCCTGGAATTCATTGAAGATGAAGAAAAAAGTGCAAATAACCGTATTTTAAAAGTTTTCGAGACTGAAAAATAGCCATTTAATTTGTAAGATAACGTTTTCGTTCAGCTTTTTTTTGTTGTCCAGACATATTTTCCATAATTAGGTTCAAATATTTATGATTTAATAAACAAATTAGTAAAACTTTTTAATTTTTTTTGTGCACTGTCTACGATTTCGACAATTTATCAACTGGCAAATGTAATTTGACATGGACAAAAAAAGCAGTGCTGCCAAATTTTTTTCAAACATTGTAACCAATTCGCCAGAATACCAAATTCAATTTCGGGTGTTAAAGAAAAGTAACAAAATTTACTTTACCGGTAAATAGGCCCGTAAATAGAATGGACGCTTCTCATCTTGCAGCAGCAGCGCATCTCAAAAATATTCAACAAAACTTTGCGAGGTACAACTGCATGAAAATGTTAGTAACGTTATGATTCGAAAATTGATTTTTAATTTTACTTATATATCTTTATACTTCGAAGGAGCTGCGATTTTATCGGAGGCGTTCGGGGAGCTGGAGCTGCGTCACTAATAAAGACTTCTGTATATGCGGGTTTTTTTTATAATATTTTGCCTATTTTTGAAAACGAATTTATTGCTGTATTGTTAATTCTTTTGTGTGCTATGTCAACCATGCACATGATTTATGTTAAATATTGAAATAAAGACTGAATCTTAATAATGTTTGTATGTATGTATATATGTAGGAAAAATTTTTGTCAAAGCTGAATTCCTTCGACATCAATGCTGTTGCCCAGCTATGTTCTGTTTGTCCGGCAGGAATGTCAAAAATGCAAAAGGACGAAGAGAGAATGACGTATACTTATACAAATGTAAACATCACGTTTATCATTTCGGTTATAGGAAAGTAATAGGAAAATCGTTCTACGAACTGACCGGAAATGTCGTTATGCAATCCTGACATATGTTAGCTCAAATGTTCGGAAGCCTCTTTGCAGGGATCACAAAAATATAACCAATCCAATGTTCTTAATTCTCTTACTTTTGATCAGCAATGAGGTAAATAAATATAAACATAACTGGTCGCAGAAACTAAAACGTTCACACACTCATATTATAGACACACGAACGAGCAGTAAGCAAGAATTTCTATACTCTGTCTGTAAGCAAAAAAAAAATATTTTTTTCTGCTTTTCACATATGAGAAATAAAAAAAATAAATATACATATCTACACATTCAAGTGTTAGTAAATTTTTTTGTATTCATATGTGACTTTGAGAAAGAAAAATAAAATTTCAAAAATCTCACTCACAAGAAATCTCATATATGTTCATATATAATAAATATGAAAATTTCTAAGCCCTGATAAATATAATATAAATTAACAGAATTACTTGTATATAGCTAGCACACCGACCGACACAGGCAAACGATGGTATTGGCTTCGGTACACAGCCGGGATATTGTAGCACATGAATTACCGGTGTCACTTGACAATCATCGCCAATGTGAGACACGTCTGTGGAAGAAATTAATTGACAATAAATGGTTTCTGTATAGTTTTTCAGCTCATTATTCAATAATTTCATTTATTGGATTTAAATTTCAATTTATAGCTTTCAGTTATTTTACCGTTATCAACCGCTGTAATGGCCTCTTCAGCTTGGGCTGAACTCAATCTTATGAACACGAAATAAATACAATAACAAAGTACCAAAGCAACAAAACGACGATTGGATTTAGAGCATGCCCTCAGCGAAATCGAGCCATTAGTGCGCCTTAGCCTGCGTAGCATTTTCACCATTTTTTTGGTGCGACTCTACTCCAATATGTATTTCGATACACACTCAACTTTACCACTTATTTTACTTGTGCACTAGCAAACACCACTTCCGTTTAAGATATTGAGCGAATAAAGGCTGGCTGCACATGCCACACGTCATTTTATATTCGAAACCAACGATATTTTTCAAATACTGAATTAAAAAACGCTTAGACTCCTGCAGGATGTGTTGTACTGCGTACATAATGGGTAATTATTGCTATGTTTCAATATGCCATTATCCTATTAATACCGTCATTTATAGTGTAAACACAAATTTAACTACAGCGTGGTCTAAAAAAAAGAGAAGCTTAGAGCTCAACTAAGCCAAAAGACTACGACTGAATCGGCAAATGATTTGTGTATAATAATTGCGTACATGAATATTGCATTAACTGTGCAGGGTTGCGAGATACCACACGCTGTGCAATGAGCACAGGCTTATGCAAATACAGGGTTAACAAGTAAGAGGTATTATTTAGATATTCGAAAAAAAATTACATTTTTTTAGATAAATGAACAGATGTTTATTTCAAAGTAAAGACAAAAACATGCCATTAATGGCCGCCACTTGCAGGATCCTTTTTATGATATTTTCCATCACCAAATCGCAAAGTGGCTGCTGTATGTATGCCCTCAAAAACTTCACGAATACCATCTTTTTGCTTTAAAGCTGATCTTGCCCCTAAGGAAGAAGTCGCAAGGTGTTAAATAACAAGATCGCGGTGGCCAATTGCGATCTCCACTTCGAGAGACAACACGGTCTTGAAACTTTGAAACTTTTGATGATAAACGTTATCCATTTCATTATCATCCAATTCCGGCTATAAAAAATCATTAATCATCGTCAACAGCGCAATCGATTCACCGTTGAAAAAGTATGGTCCAATGACCTCTCCTGACCATAAATGATTAATCGTAATAAACTGTTACAAGCTGGATGAAAATGCCTCTCCATAAGTAAATATTGGGCTTTTCGAGCCCCAGATTCGACATTTTTACTTATTGACTCAACCATCGAGGTGGACCTCAACAGTTAAGATGATTTTTCGATGAAATTCCAGATCAATTTCATACATTTCAAGAACCTAATCAGCAAAGACGCGACGTTTTCGATGATCGACCGTCTTGAGTTCATGTGTTAACTGAACTTTATAAGCCTTGACACTAAAGTCTTTATGTAAAATACGGTTTAATGACGTTTGTCGAATGCCCAATTCCAAAGAATGACGAGGAATTGACAAACCTGACTTTTCTTCAACACTTTGGGCTACAGCAGACGTGCATGTGTTTCATTATTCACAACTGTCCCAACAGCTATATTATTTCCACTAATTTCCGTATTATAGCCCGATAAGGTGCTTAACGGCGACTGGAAAATGTTTTATGCTACAACTACCCATCTTGCATACCTTCCATTCGTAGCAACCTATTTTATGAGAGCGCCATTCAAGTACAAAGTTGTCACCACTTACTCATGCCGTTATTGACGATTGCTCCGCAGGAAATACTAGTGTTTGTATGTTCTATCACAGTCGGCTGTTATGGCTGTGCGGTATGTAAGATGAGTAGTTGCAGCATTAGTTTTACGAACCGTATATGCCAGGTAATTGCAATACGTAGTTTTTACTTGTCAAATGTCATAAATGACAGCTTCACTGTAACATTTACCGGAATTGCAGGTTAATCAAAATAACACCTCTGATTGGAAAACTCTTTATATACATTAGTACACTAGGACATTTATTTCTTCCTATAAATGTAGCAATATAATATAATACCAAAAAGCATTCAATAAATGACTACATTGCCTTCTGATAAGGCAATTCCTCAGCATAAAAGAAGTATAATCAAACGCCACTGCATACCAAGGTCAGGTCATGTTGCATTTAGAAACGGATTAATAAAACCAAGCTAAGCTGCAAGTCTGATGGATAGCAATAAGTTAGATGAAAGACTCTACTTTAGATGAAGACCGTGTCAAAAATGTTTAGGACCACGACCCAAATGTAAGCACCCTTAATTGTGATGCTCACTATCCAAGAAATACGTTAGACGAAACAACGAGGGAATCGATTAGATACTTGTAACATGAATTTTAACGGAGTAAGGAGAATGTAACTAAAAATTGCTTTTATGAGTGCCTGGAGCCCAGGGGGGGGCAGAAAAAGAATTTTTGGCGCAACAATCGGTAAATTCAATCTTCGTGAGGAAACATCGACAAAAGGGTTAAACCGTTCGACTTCAACTAATATATGATTATCTATGGCACTAGATTCAGCACATGAAAATTCCAAACCAGATCGACCATCTGGTCTTAGATGTGCTTACCGGTTCGGACCACTATCTTGTTGCAGCCGAGAACCCGCTTCAACACATAGTAAATGCTGTAATCACAACAGGCAGTGAACTTATTTACAAATCTGCCCTCTCAGAGGAACCATCAGCAGCTCGGTGTAAAGTAGCTGTGGGACGGCATTTCAAGCAACCTACATGCAACTGCAAACATGAGTATTAATTTCCCGAGCTGTTCAAGTATAGAGGCGAGGAACTGACAATGTGTATACATATACATACAAATATATGCTTTAAAGAATGTTTTCGAACGATGGTACTGGCTAAGTACTGGTGCTTCTTAGATCTGGATACAGTAGCAGGTTAAAGTCTTAATTATCCAGACTCAACATATGTGGGGTATCATATGTTCAGCATGGAATGAGTCTCCGCATGACACTAGCCACTTCTTTACATGCTCCTGAAACCGACGCATCTAACCCCGCTGTCCGAACCCGTCGAAACAGCTCGCTTTCTGGACCTTCCGTTAGCTGATTTCGATGACCTAAGCGGGGCTAGTGTACCACCGCAACAATAACAACAACATTGGAACCAAAGTGTGCTCTATCCAATCCATAAAAATGGATCATTCACAATCTATATGACTTAGATTCGTTTGCAAGCCTCGATATTGCACATAATTAAATCTAAAGGAGCGTCCTGTGAGAAGGACTAAAGGAAGTGATAGCTTCAGATCTAGCAAAACTACTGCTGATCCGATATTCATCATGTAACAAATAATGAGAAAGACCCATGAGAAAGAGATCGACACACAGTATCTCCTCGGCGATTTTTATACTATTTTCGGTAATATGACAAAAAAAAATTCTGCCGTTATGTGTTAGCAACAGCCAAATCTGAGCTCTCCAAGTCGTTCATATTTGAGTTTACATCAATTATTTTACCAATAATTTCAAAGATGTTTGCTTTTTAGCTTTTAAACATATTGTTACGATTTTACTAAATCAACCTCGATTATATCATGAGTTCTTCGGGTACGATCTCTGGATTGTTAAATAAAAACTCGCCAATTCAATTTGCAGTTTCTTTCGTTGCAAAGAATTAATCTAATGTCCTTTATTTTCTCAGTAATTCACAATTCAATTACAAGGCACTTTACTAGCTACAATCACTTGCATCAACTTTCACAATTTACTTTACTTAAATGTAATTCCCAACGCGTTTACTTTACGACTTAACTGATGTTGACTTGCAGTCGGCTGCTCGCAGACGAAAGCGTAGAAGCATCGAATTGTTCGCTATGGAAGGTTCTTGTTTTATCATTTCTAGAACGTACTAGTTATCGGCTTCTCTCTTTCATCTGACATTCGCCTCGCATTTTCGCAACACTGCCCTCCACCTAAGTCTGATCGTCCCGATCAGACACATTCGCTGTTCCAAACTCA